GCCCTGATGGGAGATCAAACCCATAACCTTGGTGTATCCAGGTGACGCTCTAACCAACTGAGCTACCCGTCCAGGGCAAAAACCTGGCTTCTGTGAGACAAGAGGTTACATAAATAAACTGATGAGACAATGGACTGAAAAGAAAAGAAGAAAGGGTATGAAAGGAAGGAAGGGGGAGGGAAGGAAAATTCTAGGATCGAGATGGTGTCAGAAACCCCCAAATTTGACTCCTTCCCTTTCCTAGTTTCTTGCTGCAAGAACCCCCCTCACTGCCCCAAAAGGGGAGAATCCTCACACCATCTGCCTCACTACCCATCCCCACCAAGGGTACCCACACACCAAGCACATGTTTTACAGTATTTAGCTATAGGCTCTTGAATAAAAATAAGAGAGTTTGGACAATAACCTGGATCTAATAAATACTGGGAGATCCCTAACAGCTGAAAGAACCTATGATTCCTAGAACTCATTAGTTCTAGTAGTAAATACTTACTAAATGTTCTCTATGGGCCAGATGCTTGTGTAAGCACTCGTGTGGTTTATCTCACATACTCATGTAATAACACTGCTGGGTAGGCAGGTACTGTGATTATCCTCAGTTATACAGACGATGCAGCTCGGGCACCAAGATGCTAAATAACTCATCCAAGTCACACACCTAGTAATTACAGAGCCAGAATTCAAATGCAGACAGTCTCACTCCACAGACACCAGAGAAGAAATGACGACGGTTCCACCAAGACTGGATATTTAATTTCCCATTAGACTTTTCTCTCCCCACCCATTAAGTGATGTTGCTACATGTCTTACCAAGCACACCAAAAACATAAAACACCAAAGTCTAGTTTTCTATATCTCTGGCTTATAAATTTGTGAAAATCAAACTAAAACAATTCTCCGATGTTATTTGATTCTTTAAAATAAAAAAAAAAAAACAATGTTAAAAGCAAACTTCCCTGAAATGAAAGTCCCTTTTGCAGCTTCTGGTTTGCATTCAGAATTTGAAATGGAATATAAAATAGAACAGTGTTCAATGTCTGCACCGTCAGGTCATTTATTTCCAGATTCTATAACTAAATGCTGTAAACATGCTTGGTGTGTGAAACTGAATTTCCATTATGTTCAGCCATCCAAAATTTGACTGATGGAGTAGACATTTGTTACAATGATCCTGCCACCTACCTGGGGAACCAATTTTGACCTTGAAGATCATGTTATATTGCAAAACTAAACATTGTTTTTCTGTTTGCCCAATTCAGTACTTTATAGGAAAACTGCCAATGAGAACCCTATTTGCAAATGACTTATGGGTTTAAATGAACCTATTTCCTTTAAACATGCATTTGAAAATCATGTGTCAAATAAACAGGAATTCTTTGGGCTTATTGTCAATTGGAAATGATATTACTCAAAAATAGATATGTTATAAAGTATATGACAATGTTTTGTTGACCAGAAAGCCTAAATTTTTTAAACAATTTTTCAATACAACTGTATTCTTCCCTTAATAAGAGAACTAAAATTATCCCATAGTGAGAGAAGAAAAAAGTTTGACATGGAAGACAGCTCCAAATAACTTAAAGTATAATGTTCATTAGTGCATGTAATAAACCCCTCACTGAACAAAAAAAAAGCCCCACGATTTGTTGATGGAAAGTCTGCTTCTCTTACCCTCACTAAGGAAATGGGTTGAGTACATAAAATAGGCTGTTTTTAAGGATTTCACATTACTAACCAGCCTGTTTTGAACACGTGGGAAGAGGGGTATTCCATGGTGCCTCTGTGAAGCCCTTTAACAAAAGAAAAAGCTTAGCAACACCTAATATACCCAAGGGCAGTATGCCACAGAGGCCACAAGGTGTCACTTTCAGACAACCTCTGGCTTTGCAGCTAACAATACCCTCCCAAAAGGAGGGGAAGGTGGGAACGATATTAACTACATTTCCTTGTAATTACCAGAAGGGTATCTACAACAACTAATGCATCTAGATCAGCAGGACCTTCCCTGTAATGTCTCTAAACTTACTTCATACTCTTCCTTTTTTCCCCCTCTTCACTTTCTCTTCCGCTGGAACAACCCTGAGCACTTCGGTATTGCTGCAGATTAGGGATCCCAATTTGAAATTTTCCATCACTACCTTTTGGTCTTCACATTCAGTAGGGTGTTCTGGGTAGGAATTACAATCCCTGTATTACCGACGAGAAAACCAAAGGTTGTCACCCGTCAGTGAAAATTCCAGTGGCTACGTTTCCTGAGGGCAACACCACCCCAGCTGGGGGCTCTACCCCCTGCCCCACCCCCATCCCTCAGAATGGAGGTGATTGGGAATTTGACTATTTTGATTTTTGGAAATTAATGTAAAATACCTCATGTGTAACTGTTTAATACAACCTTGAATTTATTTATGTTTATAAAATAAGGCTTCTGGGCATTTTCATGGGTGCTCTAAGCCACTTTGGGTTGTGCATCCCTGATGGGTTTCCAAGGAGGTTCACTCTATTGTTAGTGGTGTTAGTGCTTAGGGTATTCGTTTGCGAGGGCCGCCATAATGAAGTACAGATTGGGTGGTTTAAACAACGGAAATTTATTTACTCAGTTCGAAATCCAAGATTAAGGTGTCAACAGGGCTGGATTCTCCTGAGGCCTCTCTCCTTGTTGGTAAATGGCCCTCCTCTCCCTGAGTCTTCACACGGTCTTCCCTCTGTGTCTTAATCCCCTCTTCCCAGAAGGAGGCCAGCCAGATTGGAATAAGACCCACCCTAAGGACCTCACTTTAACTGAATCACCTTTTTATAGGCCCTGTCTCCAAACAGAGCCATATTCTGAGGTGCTGGGGATTGGGGCTTCAACATAGGAAGTGAGGGGGGAAACAATTCAACCTGCAACAGCGTGGAAAAATTGAGAAACCCACATTCCCCATTCCAGCTCCTCCTTACCCTGAAGATGATAGTGTTTTAGTCTATGTCCTTAATCTACAATGCCAAGGGACTGGATGCTATGTGTTTCTTTTTCTACAAAAAAGCTGTTTAATTCATCTTTTTCCTTTGTGACTTTCTTGCTTTCTGTGGGAGTAGAGCTTAGAAAAAAGGTTTATAATTTCCATTTTTAAAAAAGATTTGTTTGAAGGGAGAAAACTGTACTTGAACAATGATTTAAAAAAAAAAGAGTTGTTTGTTTATTTTTAAAGAGGGGAAAGGAGGGAGAGGGAGAGAAACATCCATGTGTGGTGGCCTCTCACGCGCCCCCTACTGGAGCCCCGGACCGCAACCCAGGCATGTGCCCTGACTGGGAAGGGAACAGGAACTTGATACACAGGCAGGTGCTCAGTCCACTGAGCCACACCAGCCAGGGACCATTGTTCAAGTAAGGAATTCCATTCAACTTTGGAGCGATTTAAAAAAACAGAAACAGAATACTTTTTAATGGTTTTAACTGTATAAAGTTTTTAACTTGCAAAATATAGACAAGCAAAAGAATAAAAATTATCCTTACACCCACCACCCAGAAAAATGTTACCAATATCACACATCATCTTTCCAACCTTACTTTCATACACATACTGTTTTTAGCCAAATAGCAAGCTTTGTGGCCTGCCCACTTTCTTTCTTTTCTGTCTCTTTCTTTCTCTTCTTTTTTTCTTTCCTCTCTTTCCTTCCTTCCTTCTTTTCTTTTTCTCTTTTTTCTCCCTTCACCCGAGGATGTTTTATTGATTTTAGAGAAAGAGAAGGGGAGGGAGAAAGGGAGCGATGGAGAGAGAGAGCGGGAAAGAGACGGAAAGAAACACTTATCAGTGGTCTCCCATAAGGGCCTGATGGGGGACAGAACCTAAAACCTAGGCATGTGCCCTGAGCCTCAAGGCCAGGACTGGCCTGCATTTTTCACCTAATATTTTCAGTATCATTCCATATCCTTCTGCAAAATGTACCTAGTCAGTAGCCGTATTTTTCAGACTATGTGACACACACACACCCCCCAAATTTGGGAGGAACAATGGTTGATAATGCTGCTGTTGAGTTCTATTTACATTTACATTGGTGAAATATTATGTTATTTATGTTATTAAATATTTTACATTTTTTGTTTCAATTTTTTCTCCCTATTTACCTCCTCTAAAACCTAGGCGCATCTTATGGTTCAAAAAAAAAATATGGCACTTAACCAATTTTAGATTTTTGGACATTTATATTGCTTCCAAATTTTTGAAGTAATAAGTAATGCTGTAACGAACGTATTTGTAAGATAAAGGGAGAAAATGGGCTAAGAAAGGGCTAGGGTGTGTCCAGAAATGGGCTCCACAACCCAAATGGAAGAATGTGCTTAAAGGGAAAGGGAGAAAGTTAAAGGCAAAAGGAGAATGAGGCAGCAAGATGAGCGAGTTAGGGCCTTGGTGCACTTACTACTTATCAGTTTGTACAAAATTTACTGAGCCCAACCCCGCCCAGGAGTAGCAGTGGGTTTCCGCAGAGCAGCAGTGGGTCCTGGGCGCCCTATATTAGGCAAGCGGCGCGGGAGCTGGGACAGAGGAGGCGGGTCGCTATACTAAAACGCCGGGAGAGGGGCAAACGGGAAGAATCCCCGAGCCCGTGGGCCCTGAGCAGCCCCGGAAGTGCCTCCAGCGAGACCGGCGTCTCTCTCAGCCAATGGCCGCGCGATGCGCCGTCTGACGCAGACCCGTACGGCACCCGGGGAGAAAAGGCGGGAGCCCCTACGGCATGAGAAAGAACTATCTTTCTACACCGGGGCAGTATAGTCAGTCACAGACGTGTCTTCTTTCTCTCTCGCCAGTTAACTCTGATCAGTGACACTACGCCTCCAACCCAAGGACCTTCTCACGCCCTACAGTTGCCCCTCAGTAAAGATGGCTGACTGACGCGGAAGAACGGGCGGAAGTAGGCGGGGGTACGAGGGTCCAGCAGAGGGTGTGTCGTGGGCGTGGCTTGGCTGCCGAGTTATCGGGAGGGGTGTGGCCAGCCGCCCAGTAGATGTTGGGTCTGTGAGGCTCCCTCCAGCAGCCCGCCCGCACCCCTCCTAAAGGCGGTCACCACGGGCCCCGCCCCCGCGCTGCGATCTCTCTGCACCAGGTTTCCATTTGAGTCTCTGAGATTTGTTCCGAGTCGGATCTCCAGATCCTCTGCAGTCAGGGCAGCGATGGAGGGCGCCCAGGAGAAACCCCCGGAGTCTAGCTCCTCTGCGCCCGGGTCCGTAGAGTCTACCGGCTCTACTGGGGGCCCCGAGGTGTTGCCTCCCGAGGAGTCAGAGGGCTGCGCCCGACCGCTGGATACGGCTCCCAAGAAACTCTGCGGATACTTAAGTAAGTTTGGTGGTAAGGGCCCCCTCCGGGGCTGGAAATCTCGCTGGTTCTTCTACGACGAGAGGAAATGTCACCTGTATTATTCGCGGACTGCGCAGGATGCCAATCCCTTGGACAGCATCGACCTCTCCAGTGCGGTCTTTGACTGCAAGGCGGACGCCGAGGAGGGGACTTTCGAAATCAAGACTCCCAACCGGGTTATTACCCTGAAGGTAAATGCAGCGGTTTTTCCTTTTTCAGCAGGGATGAGGGGCCCAGGGCATGGCGGAGCGCCGGTAGGTTATCACAGTAAATTTACTGGAATAATGATCACCGGCCCTGATCGCCCAATGAACACTGGGTACCCAGGCTTTTGTGCTTTCCGAAGCGCATTCACACCCACTTCCCAGTGGGTTCCCACAACAAGGCAGGAGTATTGGATCCCCATAGTGGGGATCAAGAAACAGCCAGAGAGATGAAGTGACTGGCCCGGGGTCAGGCATCCGGAGAGTAGGGTGCGTGGCCCATACTTGGAATCTCAGCCTTTCTACCTCTCAGACTGCGTCAAAGCTTTTACTTTTGGGTGTGTCTGACAATGCAGTCACCTTAACTTTCTTACTTGGGGCTGAACTATAGTCAAGATACGAGCTTAACAATCCTCTCTCAAGGCCTGGATCTGGAATCACTTTTCTTGATATTTTGGCGGAGAGGAGTGAATGCTGAGAAAATGTTGGCAGGAATTGGGAAGTAAACATTTAGGTTTCACTGATTAGTCTAGATTGTTCATCAAGGCCTATCTAAACCTGTTTTCCCTCCAGTGGAAACCTGTTTAATCAGTGGAAGGGCCATGTGCTTTGAAATCAGACAAGATTGGGTTCAACTTCTACATCAGCTACTCACTAGCTGTGTGACCCTGGGCAGGTTACTTGATCTCTCAGAAGGTAGGTAGTTTGTAAGATTTAAAGCAAGATATGTAAGCATCTGGAACGTTAAAGATGCCTACAAACTGCTGAATGTCTCCCAGCACCAGTCCATATTTGGACATCACTCGGTGATGGAACCAAGATCCGAATGTTCCTGCCCAGAGGAGGTGCCACAGAACTTAACTGGAAAGACAGATCTGAGCTGCAAGTTCTAGGACTCACACTCATCAGAGAAGAATGTGTCAGGAGACATCCTTCCCCAGCCTGCTCCATCTCCCCTCCCCCAACAACAACCCTTATCTCCAGCCAATTGGAAACCTGTTGAGCCCCCCCCCCCCCCCAATACAGCCCACAGCTTCAGTTTCTCTTCACTGGCTAGGCCTGGCTGGCGACCAGGATGAGGGGATCAGCTAAAATAGTGGAAAACAGGCATTCCAGGCCAGGGTATGACGGCGTTTCAGAAGTCATGTGGTTTACGCGTCATGTGCCTCCTCCTGCAGGTTGAATGCTGCCTGCGGGGCCTCTGACAGGTGTCTTACTATTCCCTTCATCTGTGTGTGTGGCTGGCTCTGCGCTAGGCACTGGGGTACAAAGCCAAATCACACCTGCCCCTGGTGCTCAGACAGCTTAAGGTCTGGTGAGAAAGACTGACGGGGAGATTGGCATGCACAATAGAATGTTCTATAGAGACACCGGAATCTATACAGAAAAGTGTGATGAGAGAAGGGGTCAGTGCTGCTGAGTGTTGGAGCAGCAAGGGGCATCCCGAAGAGGCATCACAGAAGAGGGGATGACACCTGAATCTTGAAAGAGGACATCGGTTTCCTACAAGCAGACAAGAGGAAGAATGTCATTTCAGGTCAAGACAGGAAAACACGCTGCTGCCCAGAGTGCCCAGGCAAACCCCAGGAGCCGGGGGCACCGGGGGGTCCAGAGGGTGGGCGGGGAGAACAGAGGCCTGGGGGGCAGGAGGGGCATTTGTGAGTTGTCCTGTGGGCTGTGGGACATTGTCAGAAAGCTCTAAGCAAAGAAGCACTGTGACACTAGAATGTTTAGAGTGCTCAGTTTGGCTACTGGGTAGGGAACAAATAGAAGGGAAGCTGGTGGTCAGAGAGTCCAGCAGGAGGGGATCATGGGAGAAGGATGCCTGAGCTAGAGCAGGGCCGGTGGAGAGGGAGACAGTGGCCAGGGATGCGAGGCAGGAAGAAGGTGAGAGAGGAGTCGGGGGATGGCTCCTGCAACCCGTGGACGGCCTGGTTGTCGTGGTCGGGCCAGTCACTGACGGAGGGAACCCAGGATGAGGAGACGAGGACATCCAGGTATAAGTGCCCCTCAGCAGACTCTTAGGTTCCAAGACAATAGAGGCCATGTGTGTTGGCTTACCACAGACTCTCCAGTGTCTGCCACAGTCCCTGACACGTAGAGTAAGTAGGGGCTCAGTACACACTTGTCTGGTGAATTAATGAAGTGGGTTTGGGTGTGGGCTGGAGCCTTCAGCACAAGGTCATGGTGAAGCCATGTGTATAGAAAGAGAAGTATATGGAAAGTGTATATAGAAAGAGAAGACTGGTGGGCATCATTTTATTTTATTTGATACCTTTCATGACAGGCCAAGGGCCTCTTTCCTGGACCCCCCTGGCCTTCTGTGCACCTGCAAGCCTCTTGAAAGGGGGAGCTTGCCCTGCTTGCCCATAGCCTGCTGCTGGTCTCATGTGGCCTGACTGAACAGCTCTGTGAGGCGCACCATCCACTCCCCGTGAGCTGCCCAGCCTCTGTGCCCACTGACCCCAAGCCTTCTCTACATAGGCCTCATCTCCTGGCCATAAACGACAACAAAGCCCCGGTCAAGAAGTGGGAGACCCAGGTTCTGACACCAGCTCTGATGCCACCTGCCTGAGCGACTTCAGAGCCTTAGTTCCTCCATCTGGAGAAGGGACTGACCGCTCCTGCCCTGGCTCCTTCATGGAGGGCCTGGTGGCATAATGGATGTGAGGATAGGTATTTGGACCATCCAGTGCTAGGAGACTAATGACCGGCATTGGCCCTTAGCTGGTTGGGGTACCTGGGGGGTGCCACTTCGCTGCAGTGTGCGCATAGCTTCCCAGGCCCCGATCACATGTGTGATTTCAGTATACCCGCAAAACAGAAGGGAGTCTCCATTCCACAGAAAGTCAGCTGAGACTTTGACATGTCACACAGAAGCCAGAGATAGTGATGGGTCCCCGGGCCCCACCCAAGTCAGAATTTCAAAGCTCTCACCCTCTCTCTTAGCACCTCCAAATTCCTTTACCCAGTGAGCACATTTTGAGCACCAACTGTATGTCAGATACTGTGCTGGGCACTTCATCTTCCTTACCTCATTTCCCCCCCATAGCCAACTGCCCTGTGAAATGAGTGTTATCATCGCCATAGTACAGGTGAAGAAACTGAGGCCCAGAAAGGTGAGGACCCTCTAAGTGGGAGACCAGAGTCTGATGACTCTCTATAGCCAGGAAGCATGTGGTGTTTTGAAGTGGGCACCCAGCCACAGTGAAATTTTTTCTCCTGGAGAGGAGAGTTACCAGGGCTCTCTTGATCTGCCCACATCCCACACCCAGTGCCACCCTGCGGGTTCAGGGCCTTGCCAACTAACCCTTGTGCTTCTCAGGCTGCCACCAAGCAAGTGATGCTGTACTGGCTGCAGCAGCTGCAGATGAAGCGCTGGGAGTTCCACAACAGCCCGCCTGCACCTCCCGCCGCCCCTGACGCTGCCCTGGCTGGGAACGAGCCTGCCCTGCGCCTTGAGCTAGGTACCCAATGGGCTCGCCTCCTGTGCACACCCGGGGCTGCTGGTGGCTGAGCCCCGTGCCCTGCTGCTGGGAGTGAGGGGGAGGAGCCCTCTGCTGCAGGAGCAGAGAGCCAGGGACGTGACTCGGGATCAGCTAGGGCAACAGTACAGCATCACGGGCAAGAATGCGGGCTCTGAGGCCAGGCTGTCTGGGTCCACGTCCTAATCTTGTGTGGTCTTATTAGGCAAGTTGCTTAACCTTTCTGAGCTTCAGTTTCCTTCCCTGTAAATGAGGTCAATGAGAAATTATCCCTACTTCTTAGGGTTGTGGTGACGATTAAGTGAATCCATGCACTGCAAGGGATTGGAATGATGCCTGCACGTTGCCAGAGCTCAGTAAGCGTCAGCTGCTATTGTGATGGCCATTATGGGGATGTGTGAAAAAGCGAAACTTTTGCAAAGTTGCTATGAGGAAGGTTAATGAGAAAGTGCAGTTATTGTTGCTGCTTCTTTACACAAATGCTTTTGTGCTATGAGTTATGTAGACCAGTGATTTTATCCCTGGTATCCCATAAGCCAGAATCCTTCACCCATGCGTGCCCCACAGATGAAGTTGCTTGATCCCAAATCCTAGAACATCCCAGCAGGGAGGAGACCTGGAGATCACACCCTCCTACTCCTGTGCCGAAGTTCGGAATATGATTGGCAAGTTTTACAATCAGGACAGACCACGCACAGCTGCCCCTGCAAAAGCATAGAGAATAAGGTCTCAGCGTAGACCTGCAGCCTGTCTAAAGTGCCTCATCCTCAGTTAAAAGGGAAGCCAAGTGGGTGAGGGCAGGACTGTGGTCACATGCATCCTAGATCTCCATTCCCGGATGTTTTACATGTCCCGAACTGACCTTATCTGCCTTGACCCTTCTCCCCAGCTTTCCTTCCCTCAGTAAATCTCCCCACTCACTCAGCTGTTCCAGTAACCAGGAGTCACCCCATTTCTTCCCAGATCTCAGGTAGCCAGGCCAGTCCGTCACCAGAGCGGACCATGTTTCCCTCTGGCCTACACATCAGACTGGGGCCCCCCTCCACTGCCGTTGCCATGGGTCAGGCCTCAGCTCTGAGCTGGAAAATCATAGCAGCCTCTTATCTGGTGTCCCTGTGTCCCAGCCTGCCACCTCCAACCATCCTGCTCACTGCAGCCAGAGTGAGCTTGCTAAAATGAGAGCCTGAGCCCCCTCACCCCCTTCCCTGGCTGCTCACTGTGTGCTGGGCCCAGCCCCAGCCTTTCGGCAGCTTGCTCAGTCCTTCCCGCTCTGTCCTCGGCCCGCTCCCCAGTGCCCGCCTCGTGCTGTATGCTTCAGGAGCACCAGAGGCGGCTGCTCTCTCCTCTGCTGGCAAATCCCTGCTGCTTCTTGATGGCCAGGCTTTAGTGTCACCTCCTCCCCTTGCCAGCCTCCTCTTGGAAGCCTTTTGGGACTTTATATGAGCCCTCAGCACTTTCAGACAACTCTCAGGCCTGTTACATTGTATTCTAATTAGGGTGTCCTCGTCAGTCTCTGCCCACTAGCCCTCAAGGTGGGGGCCGTGTCTGTCACCCGTGTTCCCACTACCTGGTGCTCTGCCTGGCACACTGGATATTTGTGCAGTGAGTGTATGAGCAAATACATGGAGTTTTATAATTAAATGAGAGAAGGGATATAAAGCCTTTAGCATGACGCCAGGTACATGGTACTCAATGTGTGGCGCCTGTCCACATAATATTACTCTGTGCCCGTGTACACTGTTACTGTTACAGTAACTGTGTCTCTTTATTGTTAGTAGTCACCATCAGCAATTTCTTCTGAGCCCTTTCTGGGTGTTTTATGCTTATAAGGGCTTTCTTTGGGGAAGGGTTTAGTTATTTTTGCTTCTACCCTTTTACTGCACACCCCCCCGCCCACCTCTGAGAGAGCCGAACAACGCTGGCTGTGCTGAAAACTGCAGCCCGGGTTGACACAGCTCCCCACCAGTCCCAGCCACGGAGATGAGAAACCCTCCCTGACTCGAAATGGGCAGGACCAGGTTATCAAAAGACTAGCTTCGGGATCCCACAGGTTCACCTAGTGTGCTGAGCCCTTCCCAAGTTCCCGAATTCTGTGGCTTCGGTCCAGCACACTCAGCGGGCCTCTTCTGGGCCAGCCCTGGCTGTGGGCATGGGGGCAGGGGAGTGCTTGTCCTGCTGCCCGGGGCACCAGTCTCCCAAGGAAGACGCTGGGGAGATGCAGGGAGCAGGGATGTGGGCATCTCCTTTGAAGCCTTAATTGTCCTGCAGCAAGCCCTCGCCCTCCTGGACCCAGGGCGGCTGTGAAATGGTCTGCAGCTGACCCAAAAAGACCGCTCTGGAGTCTTGAGCAAGCCAGCAGGCCCTGCATTGCAGTCTGGAGCAGGCCGCCCCACCCCTCCGGTCGGTGCCCGTCCTGGGAGGAAGCAGGGGCCTGCCGCCAGGGCAGTGAAACCCTACTGACTCACGTCTGACTCTGAGTCACAGGGCTTCATCCTGCACGGAGTGTCTCATGACTGCCTTGGACTTCCACGAGGCGTGTCCTCTACAGCTTTTAAGCGTTCGCACCTTTACTTGAGATTTTACTTAGAGACTGGTCTCCACAGAGCCAAGCCAGATCGGGGGAAGCCAACAGGTTGACAATGACACGTTGCCATGGTAGAGCACGTTTCACAGAGCACTTTTACAGATGTGCATCTTCATACAAAGAGGCACACCTCTTCCTGACGCTGTTTTGGCATTTTGCACGCCTCACGTATCTCTTCATCACGGCGATCTTTTGAGAGAATTGCTGTTATTCTCATCTTACAAAAGAGGAGAGTGAAGAGGCCAAGGGCCCTGTCCAAGGCCAAACAGAAAGAAAACGGCAGTGCTGAAATTTGGACCCTCGTCTGCAGACTCACAGCCCCATCCTCAGGCTGAGGAGGCATCTGGCCACACGCCCAGGGCCCTCCGGGAAACCTGTGACCTGCTGGCCTGCGCCCTGTTCATTAGGCAAAGGTTTCTTCCTCCTGGTGGTGGGGCAGCCTCTGCAGTCCAGGGGGAAGGAGAATGACAAGTAACTGCTGCTGAAAAGTCTGTGTGGTCACCTCACCGAGGGCGTTTCTCCGGGCTGGGGAGATGACCGGATGGGCCGGTGTCTTGGGTCAATCAGTGTCTTCTAGGGGGTGCCAACCCTCACTGTGGTGTCACCATCCTACACCTCTTCTCCTTCAGACATCTGTTTCCCCTGGGGGGCTTGCACCTTCCTGGGCACCCCTCCTTTCTTGGAACTGTCTGCTTGTCAAAAAGGAAAAGTGAAGAACTGGGTTGGACCTATGGCTCGGCTTGCAGCTGTGCAGCCTTGGCTGCACAGTTCACCTACTCTGAGCTGCCCGTGTCACTGATGAAACCAACCAGTGATGACATTCACCCCCAAAACTTACTTCCCTCTGACCGCAGAATAGATCTAGAGCCAGAGATGGAAGCTAAAGGAAAACAGACGTTGACAGTTAGGGAAGTACTTGCCAAGACGTTAAAATCATAGATGGTAACTTTGTTTGTTCTGAATGAGGAAGAATGAAGATGGTTAAGGTATTGATAAACAAGGAAACCTTAATTACTGTGAATCAGTCCAAGGTCTGGATCAAAGACTCCTTGGACAGATGTACGTCCACAGTATGGGGCTTTGTGGTTTTGAAAACGTTTTCATATACGTTAACGCTGAAGGAGACAGAGTGCAGAGTGGCCTTCCAGTTTTGAACACGTGGAACCTGAAGCCAAAAGAGAAAAAGCGAGCAGCCAGGTCCCCCCGCCCTCCCGGCAGAAACAGGGCTCGGCCTCAGGTCTTTGGGCTCCACAGCTGAAACCCGTTCTAGTCAGCCAGGTCTCTTCAGCGCCTGCTGAAGCCCCCAGAGGCCCCTGCCCTTCCAGAGCAGATCCCTTCTTAGCCACCCCCATCCCATGTGTCCTTATCAGCTCCCTCTCCTCTGGGTCCCTCCTGGTGTATCCTCCACTACACTCCGGCTCTGGAACCCCTTGCTACTCACACAGCAGGGTCCTCCCTCACTCCTGCAGGTCCAGCTCCAGTGCCCTTCCTCCAGGAATTCTCCCCTGGCTTGAGTTGGAAGGCATCTGTCTCCAGCTCCCAGAACTCCCCATACTTTGTCTGGCCTGCCCTCCAGCTTCTGCCCCATCTAACTGAAGTGTGCACTTCTTCCTTGCTCCTGAAGCTGGGCACTTCCTGTGCCTTTGATTGTCTCACTTCTCCAGCCCCACCCACATGGAAGCTTCGGGTGTATGCCCAAACTGCTGAGAGAGTAATTGAAGGGAGGAGCTCAAAGGAAAGATTGGGTATGGCCAAGTCTGCTGGATTTGAAAGAGCCTGTTAAGGATTAACAAAAGATTGTTTGCAAAGTTTATTTCTGAGAAGATTGAACAACTCTCCTTGGCCTCCACCATTTCACGTTTTTGCAGGTATAGCGCAAAAATACACTTCCTCTACTCTTTTCACCCTCTCAGTGAGAGGGCTCGGACGAAGGGTGTCTGCTGCCCTGCAGACCTCAGAGCTGCCTGATCCAGCTCCTACGGTCCCCAAAGTGGCCGGTTCTCCTCCAGTTTTTGCAGTACTCAAAAACTTCTGAATATTGCACGTCCTCTGTCTTATGTCTCAAATAATGTTTCCTTCGCCTTGAAACCTGCCTTAATATTAAACCCTTTGAAGTACTCATTGTATAAAACAATGATCGCTGTTTAAGCAGATCATTTGAAAAACAGAAAAGTAGCCATGTCACCTGAGACAGCCAGTGTTAACGTTACATTATGACCTCCCGCCTACCTTTTATTTAAATGTATTTCCAGTCAGATAACAGCACATGCTTCACTTTCCTTTTTGTCCTCAGTATTATGGCCCGTAAAATATCCCTGTGTTATAAAAATCTTTTTATTTACATCTGTTTTTGATGAATATATTATTTTTATGTTCATAAAAGTAAACCATGTTTACTATTGAAAACTTGGGAGGGGGGAACAGTAAACTGCAATGAGCAGCCTGCTCACTTCTGTCCACCCTTAAGATTGCAAAGTATTTCTTTGGGGCTTTTCCTATACAATGGAGATTATAATATACCCCCAACTTTTTATCTGGCTTTTTCAACCTAATATTATATCCCCATGCACATTCCCCATGTTCTTCAGCATTCTTCCTCAGCATCATTTATTTTTTTTAAGGTTTTATTTATTTTATTTTTAGACAGAGGGGAAGGGAAGGAGAAAGAGAGGGAGAGAATCATCAATGTGTGGTTGCCTCTTGCACAACCTCCAGTGGGGACCTGGCCTGCAACCCAGCTTGTGCCCTAACTGGGAATCAAACCAGTGGCCCGGTGGTTCACAGGTCAGTGCTCAGTCCACTGAGCTATACCAGCCAGGGCTTCCATAGCATCGTTTTAAGTCATTAAGTAAATTCCCTGGTCTGAAGGCATCATGATTTATTTAACCCTTCCCCAGATCTTTATGTTATTTTCAGTTCAAGGCTAAACAGTGCCAGGATGAACCTCCTGGCTCATAAAGCTTCATCTGCTTTTCAAACTTCTTTAGGGTGGATTCTCAGATGCACAAATATTTGCAGGGTCACATACTTTTAAGGGTTTCTGGGAAAGCTATTGCAGCAAAATGCATCATTTTACTGCCACCTGCCTTTTTGGCTGCTGTTAACCCACAAGGGAGGCCTCTTCTCACTGACTCCATCCGGAACTCAGCCCGCAGCACCCACCTGTCTGGCCTTTCCCAGTGCAGTGACCCCTGGGTGATTTCCCTTTTCTTTGTTCCACAGAGCAAGAGGAGGCAGAGCTGCAGGAGTTCCTATGCCCCGTGAAAACACCCCCTGGACTTGTGGGTGCAGACGCCGCCTTGCAGCCAGCCCCCGCCATGCCCCTGGCCCTTCAGAATATTTCCCTCAAGCACCTGGGGACTGAAATACAGTAAGTGCTCGGGGGGCTGAGGGGCCAGCCAAGCGACGAGCAGCCCCTTCTTCAGAGCTTGCTGTGACCTGGGTGATCCCAGTAGGGAGATGGGCCTGGGGAGGGACGAGGGGCTTTATTTTCAATTCGTCACATCATTCCGTTAAAATACTACGTTCAGTGTTCTGACCTTGAAAGTAGTGTGTGTTCTCTGTAGGAAATCAGGAACACCTCGAAAGGCACACAATGAACATTACCCATAAGCCTGTCACCCAAATGAGCATTCTTAGCCTTTGGGGGATCTCTTTCCTCCTCATTCTCTGACACATAACATGCATAGTTGAGATCCTACTGAATGTAACGTGATGGCTTCATAAATGCCTCCATGTGTCACACGCATCACGTTATTCCCTTTTAACGTGTAATTTATTGTATGTCCTCCTTATCTCAGCTACTGTTTCATTTAATATAGTGTATTACATGTGCAACTTCCCACTGGCAGGTTTGGTTTCAAATAGTTTATGAGAAGACAGCGATATGGCCTGGGCGTTGGAGTCGGATGCCTGGGTTTGTGTCTTGGCCCCACCAGTCATTGGCCGTGGTTTCCTCGGCCAGTCGTTTGACTTCTCTGTGCCGCACTTAGATCGTTAGTGAATGTAAAGTTCAGTGGAGCTTGCCTCGTAAGGTGAGCACAGGGGTTATGTGGCCAGTGCGTGCAAACCATTGAGGACTGTGTTTGGCAGTGGGTAGGTAACTTAATAAATACATGGTGAGGCAAAAGTAGGTTTACAGTTCATATGAAAAATAACCCAGTAATAAATAATGCAGGAAAAAACTCTGCATTTCACATACTCACACCTGTAAGCCTCCTTTTGCCCCACCCTGCATTATCTGTTACATGGAAGCTTTGCAGAATTCAGACCATACCCAATAGTGATCCTGTCCAGATGCAGGTTTTCTGTGAGGACTTCAGACCAACTAGGCCTCTTAGAAAGCAGAAGAGATTGCCACTGGGCTTGGACTAGACACCCTTGGCTCTGTGTGGCTCCGGCATAGCATTTCCCTCTGCCAGCCTCAGTGTTGGAATTTGCTCGGGTAACTAGGCGGGTAGTGATGCCGTTCCTCGGACAGAAGCAGGTTTCAGGCAAAAGGTGACGAGTGTTCTTTAGGGCCTGGAGGTGGAACTACCCAACGGGCACTGGATGCAGGGAACTGGAACTCAGAGGACAGAGGCCTGAGCTAGAACAAGAGACTTGGGGAGTACGGGGCATGGTTGAGCCCCCAAGGGTGAGCGGGCAAGGACGGTGCCCTGCCGGGCATCTTCCCTCCAGAGGTGCTGGAGGGAACTGGGTGCAGTGGGAGCCTGATGGAGGTTTGAGTCCAGCCACCTGCTAGCACACACTGCAGCTGTATCCAGGGTGGCCTCACAGAGGTTGGGCCAGGTTCCCTGCCCGATGAAGACCGCAGACACCAGCAGTGGAACAGACAGCATGCAGAGACCGAGAAAGGAAGGAAGTTGCAGGGCTCAGTTGGTTGCCTCCCTCCTGGTTCTTGCAATAACCCGCAGAGAATTCAGGGCAACATGGCCAGTGTCCTGGGGAGAGCCTGGTATGATCAGGGCTGCCCTGGTCTCTGGCACCCCCTTGCCCCGGCTGGTCTTAGAGCTTCCAGCTGGGTCTGCCATGAGCCCAGGTCATCGTTTGGGGAAGGGAGTAAGGGAGCTTCCAGAGCACTGTGCTCGGTGCTTTACAGTCTCATTGAGCTGTCTGAGCAACCCCGTGAAGGGGTGTCATAGCAGTTTGGTTCTCAGCCTATGGAGTCGGATGTCCAGGTCTGATGCTCAGTCCTGCCACTTACCAGCTCTGTGGCTTTGGTCACTTATCCCTCTGAACCTCAGTTCTCCTCTCTGTACCATGGAGGTGATAATAGTACTTACTCCACTGGGTTGCTATGAGGATTAAATGCACTGAATGCATGTGTGTGAGGCCTAAACGGGTTGTATTGCTAGTGTTCAGCTGAGAGCCTGGCCCATGAAGGGCCTCATTGTTTGTTGTGACTGTGTCCCTCACCCCACTGCAGACGGGGGACCCAGGCACGGAGAGGATAAATGCCTTGCCCAAGGTTTTCTTTCCAGAACAAGCCCTTATGACCACTACCTTCACGTGACCAGGCCTTTCGTACCTGGAGCTAAACCTACCCAGGAAATGATCCATGAGCTGCTCCAACCCAAGTCAGTCAAGTTAGGAAATGGAAATGCCTCTTCCAAGCACAGTGGTTTGGCTGAGGAGTAGCCACCTGGTCTGGGTCTGTAGTCGGTGAGGTCCCCATCTGCAGAGGAAATGTGGGCGGAGCCCAGAAGGCCCTTTACTGTCCTGGGGTTGGGCTTCTCTGCCTCCCACACCCCAGGGCCGATGCCTGTGAGCCCCTGGACACGGAAGGGAGGCGGCAGGTCCTGGGCAAGGGGAAGTGTGGGCAGCAGTGATGGCCACCCCACCGAGCCAGTTCCTCCAGCTGTAGGGATGTGTCCCTGTGGCTTCTCCAAGTCACGTGACTTGTGGTTTGTGAGATACACTGTAATGGGGTGAGCACAGGCCCCCACACAAAGGGATGCTCAGTAAATAGTGCCCCTGGTAGCTGTCATTCTTTTCAGCACCACTGCTGCCCTGCATTTTCAGGTGGGGCCCAGAAGAACTGGGGAGGGGAGGTGACCAGCCCAAGGAGGCAGGGGCTCCCTAAAATGGGACGTTAACAATAACAGAGTAAAAGGAGCCAGAGACCAGATTTCAAAGCCAAGTGTTGGGAGTGCTGAGTTCTCACTTTTTCTCTGGCCTTGATTTAAGGGATTCGTGTTTCCCTCCACCTGTCAGCTGTACTCTTCGTTAATGTACAACCGCATTCTTTTCTCCTGTTGGACCCGCCTATACCCCCAAACTGGACTTCTTTTAAAGATGTTTTAAGTAAATAATGATTCTTTGAAAAAACATTGACAAGCCTTTAGCTAGACAGACCAAGAAAAGGTGTAAGACATAATTACAGAAGTCAAGCACACAGGCGGGGACGACACCACCAACCCCACAGGAATAATAAGGTTGTGAGGGCACGCTGCGAGTGGTTAAATGCCAACAAGTCAGACAACTCGGATGCAATGCATGGATTCCTGAGGGGCACAAATTGCTAACACCGACTCGAGAAGAAATGGGAAATTTGAGTAGACCTGTAACATGGGAAGAGATTGAATTAGGAATCAAAAAACTACCCACAAAAATAAACAAAACGAAAACAACGCCTAGGACCAGATAACTTAACTTCCCTGGTGAATTCTACCAAACATTTAACAAGTAATTAATACCAATTCCTCACAGAAAGGGATTAATACCAATCCCTGCAGAAAGGAGGGAACACTTTCTGATTCCTTCCCTAAGGCCAGTATCACCCTGACTACCCAGAGCCTTCGCCTAGAATTTCCCTTGTTAACCTTGCCAGCAGACGTGTTTTTTCTGGCTCACCTGTTCGCAGAGGGTGTGGATTTGCAGGGGTCTCAGCTTCATGTAAAATTTCAGCTTCAGTCCTACGCTTTGTATGGGTCCCGACCTTGTTTTCTTTCTTCCTTGCAACCAAGGCCCTCGGTTTTCGGTATCAGTAGATGATCCCTGATCTCTCTCTCTCTCTCTCTCTCTCTCTCTCTCTCTCTCTCTCTCACACACACACACAAGCAAATTGTAACTATGTGTGGTGATGGGTGTTAACTAAATGTGTTGTGATCACATACATATATAGAAAATGTTGTATACCTGAAGCAAATATGTCATCTTTGATATCTCGATGTAGAAAAACAAAACAGTTGATTCCTGAACAGACATACGGTATATCCTAGTCAACTCTCATGACAATAATGCTGCAAACAAATGCTTCAAAATTCAGTGTCGTATAATAGGCATTTCTTTGCACCCACCTGGGTGCAGCTGATAAAGGCTAAGTTCCCATGGTCCTAACTCTAAGCAAATTGGTAAGATTCAGTTCTAGTCCTTGCATTTCTCACCTTCTAGGGACCAGCAGCTACCTGAGGCCTATTCCTCATGCCTGTGTTTATATCACATCCGCTAACATTCCTTTGGCCAGAGCAAGTCACAGGGCCACACCCAAAGTCACGGGGCGGGGGGGGGGGCGTTTGGGGGGAGGTACTCGGCCCCCCGTGGAGGGGAGGAGTGACTACTGGCATACTGTGCTTTGTTACACTTCACAGAGCGTGCATTTTTTTTTTTACAAATTAAAGTTTTATGGTAACCCTGCACTGAGCATGCTTATCAGCACCAAATTTTCAGCAGGCTTGGCACTTTTTAGAAATAAGGTCTTTTTTAAATTAACTTATCTCTGAGGTATGCCTGTTATTTGCTGAATGGGAATCTACACATTCACCTCCCTCTTGTGTTTCCACTTGAATTTTACCCCCTTTTCCACGTTTGGTACTTAGGGATTTCCCTTACTTTCCTGGGAATTCAGCTGAGTGTCTGTGAGAGATGGTTCGGATTTGTCTAGCACCCAGGTGTTTGGGGAGGAGGGTTTCCGCAGGAGTTTGCCCCCCACGTTGCTGGAAGCACACTGCGCATCGGTGCGGCGTGGCAAAGCCAAGGTGCCGTCGCAGGTCCGCAGCCTCTCACATCCTCCCTGGGCCCACTGCCTCTGCTGCCGCCCTTGAGTGAGTGACTTCCCAGGGCGGCGCTTTCTCGCCGTCGACCAAGAGCACAGTGAACACAAAAATGTTAACCCTCTTCTGGTGGGCCGCATTCTCCTGTGTTCTGTTTGCGTTAAATGCTGGTTGTGACACTAACCTGGTTCCACAGTCTGCCAGTGGTTTATTGTAGTTTGAAAGACATTGACCTACTGAGCTCCTTTAATCATTTTCCTTGTGACTAATTTTGGAATCTGTCTACTTGTATATCTTCGCAAAGGGAAAATAAACTCTCGTCTGACTCATTGTGAACTTCTCTGTGGTCCCTGGTCCTCGGGCAGCACTTGGTGCTACCTAGTTCCTCCCTGCAAACCAAGCATGTACTATTGAGCTTGCATTCTGGGCACCTGCAGCCCCAGCACAGGTGCCAGCAGGCGTGCAGGTAGGTTAGCGCCCAGTTCGTGGAGAAGAGTCATCATTATTCAGCCCAGACAAGGACTTAGTCACGGGGTGGCCCCCTCATGAAGTGCAGTGAGCTCCTTGGAGCCTGCGGGGTGACCAGTGGAGGCTTCGGAGAGAACAGGGCAGAGCAGGGAAAGAAAGCAGGAGGAGAAGGATACCCTGGGATGTTGGGAACTTCTCAGCAGAAGTAGGGAGCCACTGATGGCGTCTGAGCCAGGGAGTTACAAGACCAGATGAAGGTTGTAGGAAAGTCAGTTTGGCAAGTCCATTCAAAATTCATCCAACACACACGTGGAGGGGCCCTCCATATGTCAGGCACTTGTCTAGGCATCCAGAGTGCTCCGATGAACAAAACAGACAGACCTCCTGCCCTCGGGGAGCTTGTGCTCCAGCAGCGGGGTCAGGGCAGGGCAGTGAAGCTTATATATTGCTTATAAGCCATGTTGTGGGAGGTGATTAAGTCCGATGAAACAATGGAAGAGAGAGGGGTGAGGGGGATCGGGAGCGGCCCAGGTGGGGCGTGTCATGCAGGGTGTCTGGGATCAAGCAGACTGATCAGGCTGTGACTGGGGGCAGGGATGCGGCCTGAGCTCCCGCAGTGACAGCAGGGAGGGCAGGGGCAGAATGGCGGGGCTCAGCCTCGCGCCCCTCTGCTTCCCTTCAGAAACACGATGTGCAACATCCGGGGCAGCAGACAGGCCCCAGGAACAGGCCACGGACCTCCAGGGGAAGATTCGCCGCCGCAGAGCAGGGAGCCTCAGAAGGAGGAGCCGTCCTCACCCTCTGACCCCAGCAGCCCAGGTGAGCCCCTGCCCCGGTCTGAGCTGCCCTCAGAGGCCAAGTGTGCTTTCGTATGTCAGCCATGGAACTCTCCTGGGCTTATGGGTCCAGTAGCAGTGGTTTATTATTGTTGTTGCTATGGCGTTGTTGTGGTAGTGAAATACACATAACGTGAAGCTTAACCAGCTTCAGGTGCACGCACAGTTCAGGGGCATCGAGCACATTCCCGTTCTTCTGCACGCGTCACCACCATCCGCTGCCAGAACTCTTTTCATCTCCTCAAACTGAAACTCTTAGCCACGGTTCTTGAGGTAGTAAAGGGAAACCTCGCTCACTGTCTTACTTTTTTTTTTTTAATTTATAAGGCAAGGACATAAAAGTGCCTTTCTGGGGTGATTAAGATCCATCAGCTCTGCCTGATCCGCCCAGGCTGTGACACAGCATGATGCTGTTTCTTTCACAAAATGTGACTGACCCACACCCGGCGGGGAGGGTGGCTTTCTTGAAAGTAGCATCGGTGCCCTTAGAACATGTTTTAACTTAGAGGCGGTCGGGAGAAAACTGGCCAAGGCAGCCTTGCGGGGGCCTTCTCATGGCAGAGAGGACCCCTGGGCTGCACAGAAGTGACCGGAGGAAAAGCGTGCCTCGGGGCGGTGCCGGGGGAGACCCCGCAGGTCACACACACGGTTCAGGAGGAGATCAGTGCTGTATCGAATCAGCAGTGACGGCGAAACTGGTGCTTCCGTGTAGCAGCCACTTTGTGCCAGGGCTACTCCACGCACTTTGGGGGGTGGTGCCAGGTGTGTTAGGATGTAATTCACACACCATACAATTCATACATTCACCCAAAGCTCGGTGGCTTTCGGTATATTCGCAGAATTATGATGCAGCCATCACCATCATCAACTCTAGAACATTGGTAATTGCCCTCTACCCCCCTCCAAAAACCCATACATCCCTTAGCCATCAGTCCCGATCTCCTCCTCCCTCCAACTCTAGGCAACCACTAACCTCCTTTCTCCGTCTCTACAGATTTGCCTGTTCTAGATAGTTTATATAAATGGAATCACACAATATATGGTCCTTTCTGACTGGCTTACTTCACCTAGAACCTTTTAAAGTTTCGACCACATGCACTAAGCGCTTTACCTGCATTAACCTGTTTAATTGTTACAACCACCTGAGCGGTAGATGCTGTGGTTGTTCTCATTTAGCAGATGCAGGAACCGAGGACAGGCAAGCGGAGTGACTGGCTCATGGTCGCACCCCCCGTGACAGAGCTGGGGTTCAGGCCGAGCACTATGCCCCGTATCGTGGCCTGAAGCCTCGTTTTCTAAATCAGTGATTGCTAGAACGACATCCTTATTTCCACAGAACCTAGATGCCACATAAAATCTGATACACAAAGCACATAAAAGCTGAGTTGAGTCGGGGGCGGGAGTCTGGGCTGCCTTTGGTCACCCACCCTCAGCCCCTCCGAGTCGGCACTCCCGCGAAATCCTGGGGCGCTGGCCGAGAAAGGCTGTCCCAGGTCTCGTTCTCTGCAGCCGTGAGCGGAGCACAGTAATCCCTGCCCTGCCTGCCCTTGGGGTTGGTGGGCAGGAGCGTTTCAGAGGTCAGCGGGGCTGCAGGTCGGAGCCGCCTGGAGTCTGACTCTCCCAGAGCCCTTGGCCCGAAAGACAAAGGCGTTGCATTCCACGGAGCTCTGCGGCCTGCTCTGTTCTCCGCTCCACGGATTTCTCTTTGGTCTGGAACAAGACCGTTCTGTTCCTCTACCCAGCAAGTTCAGGGAGTTTTGCTTCCTGTCACCTGCTGGAGTAGTTATTTTGTTTGTTTGTTTGTTTGTTTTAATTTACTTTTAGAGAGAGGGGAAAGGAGGGAGAAAGGGAAGGAAAGAAACATCGATGTGAGAGAGAAACATCAATTGGTTGCCTCTTGTACACACCCCCACCAGGGACTGAACCTGCAGCCCAGGCCTGTGCCCTGACGGGGAATCGAAACAGCGACCTTTCGCTTTGCGCTTTGCGGAATGAAGCCCAGCCGAGTGAGCCACACCGGTCAGGGAGGTTCTTTATCTGTTCAAGACTGTTTGGCCCTCAGCCTGGTCCCCAGAACAAAGATGCCGAGTCACTCGGCTTGTTTTCCAAACCCTACCTGTCCCCTCCCCTGGGGTCCCATTTCACATCCTTATTTTTAACACCTTAGTCTGGGGATACTTCTTAAAATGCATATCTGGGGAAAGTAAATGAGTAATTAGGGTCAGAAATTTTAGATGAGATACCTCAGAGTAGCTAAGGGTAGGCGGCAGATGTGGCTCTGAGCATCTCAGCAGCCACAGCAAAGAGGGGGAGGCAGGTGGTTAGACTGTCTCCGGTGTCCGTGAGATGAACACATGCTTTCTTGGAAGGAGAAAAAGCCTTTTCTGACACTGAGGGCTGAGGAGAAATTCTGTCTGTTTCGTCCAGCCCTGTACAAGCTGCATCTCCCTGATGTGTGTGTGCCACATAAACACAGTTCTCAAGGCCCCTTGACCATGTCCTCAGGCCGTTAACTGTTCCTGGCTGCAGACTGATGGCAGAGCCCTAAAGCAAAGACGGGGGACAGGGTGGCCCGAGTGAGTGGCTCTCTGGTGTTGGATTTGAGAAGGAAGCCTAGCACTGGTGGGCAAAGGGTTTCTGTAAAGAGCCAGAGAGCGAATATATGAGGCCTCGTGGGCCACGTGGTGTCAGCTGAAGAGCCTAGTTCTGCCCTCGTGGAGTGGAACTGGCGCAGACAGCGCACCCACGGGCAGGTGTGGCTGTGTCCCGGTGGAACCTGACCGGAGCAGGCTGCGGGCTGGGTTTGGCTGTGGGCCGCCGGTGCCTGGTGCCGGACGCTGGCTCCAGAGGAGATTCTGAAAGGACTGTGCAGCCCTGAGGCCATCAGCTGTGGGAATTCCCCCCTAACTTAGCATATAGTGAGAATCAAATACAAGTTTGAGCTACTCTCTGGGGCAACAATGCAGAGTGCAGACACATTCCATGTTCCTGTCACAACATGTCTGTGTCCTTTGAACATTCCTGAGAGGGTAGAGGTGGCCTCCTGACAAAACAAACAAGACCTTCTGTCAGGGCCTATGGCTGGCGGACTGGCCACCCGGCCAAGGCAGCCCTTGGGATCCATGAGCTGGAGACAGGCCGAGTTCAGAGGACAGGCTGAATGACCGGCCCAGCAGCACAGTGTAAAGAATGTGTGTTTCCTCCAGCCCTGCAGGGCTGCATCAGCATCACCTAGGGGTGTTTTAGAAATGCAAATTCTCAAGCCTAGCCCCAAACCCACTGCAGGAAGAGCTCAGGGAGGAGGGTCCCACAATCCGCATTTTCCCAAACCCTCTGCAGCAAGCTCAAGTTTGAGAACTGCCAAGGCCCCTGACCATAACCTGTGCTTCTCCCCTCGATCAGGGAAAGATCCAGCGGACTCCCTGAAGCCTCCACCCAAGCCCTCTCTGACTGCCAATCTCATTCAGAAAGCCAAGCGCCAGAATAGCACCTTCCCGCTCTTCGCCGAAGGACTCACGCGGAACCGCACGGCCCAGGAGAAAGCCTTGGCCTTGGAGCAGCAGGTCCTGATGCTCACCAAGGAGTTAAAGTCTCAGAAGGTGAGCTCCGGCCCCAGAGAGGCCCCGGGATCCAGGAGACCCCTCGGGGTACAGGCCAGTCTGTGGTCCTCACCAGCCAAACTGTGGGTGGTTGAAACTGCTGTGCTGCTGACTACTCAGGGGGGATATGCTGTCACTCAAGCTAAGTGACAGAAAGCCTCCGAGGGCAGGGTCTCTGAGACCTACTTTAATACTTGCCTCTCAGACCCCTCCTGAAGGACTGCCTGGGCTGACCCCACACCCGATGAGGGACATTATTTGGGGGAGGGTGATGTGGAGGCAGGGTTCTGGGAGGGGCCCCTGAAGGAACTGGGTGGGGAGGGGATCTCTGACCTGGCAGCTGGTAGCTGAGCACCGATCCCTTAGGACCCGTCACAGAACAGAGAAAGCAGACAGTTCTCACGGCCCTGGGGCTGAGTCAGGCCCAATGGGGGGCAATAACGGGGAGGAAGATTTGGGCTTAATAGAGAAGTTAATTTTAGCAGTTTTTAAAAAAAAGAGTTACATGGGCATTGTAGAAAACTGATCACACACATACACAGACATGAAAGGCATTAACAATCCTACAACCCAGAGGTAAATCGTGTTCACATCCAGGGCGGCCTCACGAAGCAGCAAGGGTCACGTGGCAGGGAGGCAAAGGTGGCTTGCAGCGCTGGGCAGCGGGCTCTCTGTAGCCGGAGCAGCTGCCTGCTCCCTGGACCCGTGCAGCTTAAATCCCGTACCCAAACCTGGGCAGGAAAAGAAACCTGGAATGTGAACACTGCTTCTCCTTTCTCCATATCTTCCCCTTCCTTCTAGGAAAGGTGGGCAGCCTCCCTTGACTTGGCCTTTCCTTCTCAGGCATTGTAAACTGTCACGTGGAGTAGAGGGGCCCTGGGAGACCGAGCTTTCACGCGGGCTGGCCCCTGACTGCGCTGCAGCCCCGGAGGGCACGCCCTGCTTCACTGAAGGAGGGCGAGGTCACAGAGCTGAGCCAGGGCTGCGCAGGCTGTGCGCAACTTCCCAACAGTCAGAGTGAGAATGTGAAGAGGAAGCCATTAAAGCATTAAAGACAACTTTCTCACCAGCCAGCCCCAGTCCTGTGCTCAAGCGGGTTTTGTGGTTTAGCTTGTGACCCGCGACGTGCGTGGAGTTGCACGCTCTCTGGCCCATTGCACAACTGTGCTTTGGTCTATTGGGTAATTCAGAGCACAGGCCTCTAAACAAGAGGGTGCAGACCCCAGTTCTGGCCTGGAGCAAGTTTCTTAACCTCTGCAGCCTCAGTTTCCCCTGTGAATGGGGCTATAACCTTGTTTCCTGCAGAGGCCCATGTCCAGATTCTCACAGCCTGGTGCCTGGCCCCCAGCAGTTGCCCGGCAGATCCAGACTTTGATTATTTGCCCTTTTTGTTGATTCCTTCCTGCCTTAGAAGGAACGATGCAGCCCCTCGAGGGGCTCTGAGAAGAACTCCCCTGGGGAGTTCTGGAAACGCACGTGAGCCCACGCGGCCCCCAGGAACTGTGTGCTTGTGGGGCAGAGCAGTGACGCACGGAGGGCAGGTCTTCCTTCCACGCGAGGAAGGTGGCGCCCCAGCCCTACTGGCCCTGGGGGTTCACCTGCAGTCCAGATGCCAGAACCAGAGGGGGGAGGGGAGAAGGAGACCGGCTCTGGGCCCAGAGGGGCGGGGGAGGCGGGCACTGCCTGGGGATGCCCAGCTCTGGGCCCTCGGGAACGCTGCTCGGAGAGCGACTCTCCATCTGACCCTCCGAGCCCGGCTGGGAAACAGCCCCCTGGACACCCTGCACCCCCATCTCCAAGACGCCCCTCGGGGGGCGCTTCTGTGGGAAGGCGCCGAGTTTCTACCCGAGGCTAGCTACGGGAGGACGTGGCAGCGGGAGGTCCTGTTCTGGCTCAGCCAGCCAGGTGGCCCCTGCCGGTGGCTTTCACGATCCTGTAAGAATTTGTGTCCCAGGCTCTGGTGGGCGCCACAGAGGGCCCCGGTCTGCCGTCCCGGTTCAGGACCCTCACCCACCACAGGCCGCCTCCTCCACGGTCTCACGGCACAGCCCAGGGCCAGACGCACCTGCTCTTCAGAAAAAATGGCACAAACTCTCAGTGCCACCCTGGTGTCACGTGAAACCACAGGGCGACTCTGATGCCCATTAAGTCATTTTCTGTCCCAGGCCCTACGGTGCTGGCCCCATAGGAGATGTGGGCCCCAGGAGGGAGCTCCAGATGGCTGTGTGGCCCGGGGACTCGGCTCTCAGAGTCAACAGAACTGCACCGCCCCAAGGGCCGTCTGCCCTGGCAGATGGATGGCAGCTGTTTCTGGGGGTGTTTGCCATCTGCTAGCTGCTGGGAATGAGGGGCTCCTCCTGGGCCCGACCTGGGGCGCTCTGGAGCCAGCGTAGCTCACTCAGGGTTACTCCGCTTCTGCGCCATGTGGTTTGTTTAGGAAACCCGGTGGGGACAAAGGGCACCCTGTTCTTTCCCTGGAGCCCGAGCCAGAGCGTTCAGAGCACAGCCCTGCCAGCCGCGCGCAGTGCCGAGGCTTCAGAGTGCGCACGGGCAGCGGCTCCTTTTATGTTATTTCTTACAGCGCAGAGGCAGCTTCAAAGTGGCAGGTCTCACAAGTTCCCATTGTTGTTTTTAATAGTTCTATAAGGTGTGTACGTGCACTTTTGTGACTGGCTCATTTCACGTAGCGTAATGTCCTCGAGATCCACCGCCGTGTCGCGTGTGGCAGGGTGTCCTCTCTTTCCCAGGACGAGCAACACTCCCCTGTGAGTGCGTGTGCGCCAGATTCTACCTGTTTGCCTTCAGCAGACAACCGAAGGGGTCGTTCACATCTCTCGGGTGCGGAAATAGTGCTGCTGTGAATGTGGCTTACTTCCATTTGTGAAGAAATTGAAAGAAACGTTTCAATGCAAAACCCATTAACCGTGCATCATGGAGAAGCGAGGGATCCTGGACTAGGTGGGGAGCGCTCTGGGGTGGCACATTTTCCCCCCGCAGGGGCCTCCCAGGTCCCTTTGTCCTCTTCTTTCTCCTTTCTCGGGCCTCCGTCTCCCCGGTGAGAGCAAAGTGGCCAGGCCAGGTCTCCCAGGCCCTTCCAGCCTCCAGGTTTCCTGAGTCCGTGATTCGTTCCCACTCCGCCTTTTACGCTTCTTACTCTAGCTCCGCCCCCCCTCGCCCACCCCTTTCTTTTCTCCCTGTCTCTCTGGAGGGGGCGTGGGGTAGGGGGAGAGCCTTCTGGGCTGGTGCCATGGCCTTGGAGTTTTGAGAGCCAGATGTGGGAAGGGGGAGACAGTTGTGTATACTGACATGGGCTTCCGAGTGGACTCTCCCAAAGGGGAGGGAGGGAATTTCCACCGGATTCTGCACCTCGGGCAAGTCTGAGTGTTGGTGGCTGTCTGCTTTCTCACCAGGCAGCTGACCGGGTGGTCTCCAAATTCCAGCCATCCAGAGGGGTGGGGCTTATCTGTTGTCTGGGAGCCACAGCGATGTTCATCTCTCTCAGCAGGGCCCTGGGAAGGGGTTTCTTCCCGGTGTGGTGTGCAGCCACCCTCCCCCACGCCCCGCGACACCCGAGATCCCCACAGCTCTTCAGGGCTCTTCATCCCTCTCGGCCGTTGTCTGACTGTGGGTTCCCTTGTTGGGAAAGCCCCCCAGCCCTGCCTCCCACCTGCTGCCTGGCCAGCTCTGGCCCTGCCCGGTCTTCAGTTCAAACTGACCTGCCTTTCTGCAGAAGGTGCTGATCTGCCCCCACTGCCGCCCCGGGCAGAAGTCACTGCTCCCTGCTCGGGGGAGCCCCCCACAAACACCCTTGCTTCCCTCTGTCGAAGGAAACTGCTCTGTTACAGTGGTTGACCTTCACCCCCACCGCCTTCGCCTTTGTGAATTTTGAAGGTGGGAACGGTGACCAGTCCCTCCCTGGGCCCCAGCAGCTGGCCCAGGGCTGGGCACTGAGTGGATGCTTCAGAGAGGCTGGATGGAGGAGAGAAGCAGAGAAGGAACAGTGCCCAGATTTCAGAAAACACATGCTAATTTGGTCTTGTCAATAACTTTTCATATCAAGTCTTGATTTGGGGCTGTTCTCCAAATAGAGTTGTTCTTAGCAAATAACCCTATCCCAGCTGATCCATTTATTTAAATGCTTTGGCATAGACACAGTTAATGTGTTTCCAGGGAACCGTGTTTTTCCAGATGAGGCTGGCATGGAGCACAGCAAGGGCCTAAAAACCCTCCCTACAAGGTTCATGAGGTTCGAGGGGGTTTGCATGGGGCTGGCGGCTAGGCTGCCTGGCTTCCGACAATCGGGCCTGGCCCTGAATGAACCCTCATGCCTGCTTCGGGGCAAGGCAGGTCCTGGGGAGGCTGGAGCCTCAGAGGCATCGGGAGCCAAGCAGACCTCGAGCTTCCGTGTGAATGGATTTTCCCGTGCCCCACCGAGGTGTGAACTGCGATATGTTGCTGTCAGAGCGCACTTGCACCAGCCTTGCAGGCCCCTCTTGGGGGGGGGGGGGGGGCGCGGGCAGGGCAGAAATGGACTGACCGAGGCTCTCTGTGTGTGGCTCAGTGTGAAGATTGCCGGTGCGTTTCCTTTCTTGCTGTCTCAGCTCGATTGGTGGCGACTGCTTAGGTGCTGAACCCAGAGGGATTCTGAGGCCTCTCCTGGGCCTGTGAAGGAAGGAGTGTTGAGGGTGATTCGTAAGGCCTGCCCCGGGAGTGAGGGGCGGGAGAGCGGTGCGTGTGTGCCGCGGCACCCCTGCTTTCCCGGAAGACTGCCAGGACCCAGGCTTTGGGGTCCTGGTGGTCTGGGATTAAATTCCACTCTCCTCCGCCGGGCCTCAGTTTGTTCATCTCTGAAATAGACAGGTGTTACTCAGGATACAACCTCTAAGCACTGTGGCCTCAAACAGTTTGCAAGTTCATCTCTCACATTCTCAAGGACGAGTCCCGCGGTCCTGAGCTGGCGAGGCAGCGCCGCCGTCCTCCGCACGCAGCGTGCACGGTGCTCCCAGCGTGACCGCCGCAGTGCTCGCCCCCTCCCAGCCAGCAGGCCCGGTGGGCCAGGGCGGCGTGCGTGGGGGGGTTCCAAAGGTATGACGCAGAAGCTGCCCCCGTCGTTTCTTGTATGCCGTGTAAGGACAGCCATAACTCGGCCACACCCAGCTGTAAGCTTGGCTGGAAAATGTAGTCTTGAGCTGGAGACCAGGTATCAAGCTAAGACTGTCGAAAAAGAGAAAATGGGTGCTGAGATGAGGTGACGCAGAGGGTGACGCCGGCCCCCTCTCAGGGCTGTTAGGGGAACTGCTGAGAGCACGGGCCCGGCCTCTGGCACTTAGCAGGCCTTCCCCGAGTTCCTAAGAAGCTTCCGCTTCCCCACGCAGGAGCTGGTGAGGATCCTGCACAAGGCGCTGGAGGCCGCCCAGCAGGAGAAGAGGGTGACCAGCGCCTACCTGGCTGCGGCTGAGGACAAGGACCGGCTGGAGCTGGTGCGGCACAAGGTGCGGCAGATCGTGGAGCTGGGCCGGCGGGTGGAGGCGCTGGAGAAGGAGCAGGACAGCCTGGCGCAGACGGCGGGCCTGCGGGAGCAGGAGCTGCAGGAGCTGCGGCAGCACGTGCAGCTGCTCATGGACAAGAACGAGGCCAAGCAGCAGGTCATCTGCAAGCTGTCTGAGAAGCTCACCCAGGACTCCCTGCAGCCCCCCGACAAGCCCCTCGTGCCCCCGGATGCCGCCGACAGCGACTTCCTGAGCCAACAGGAGAAGATGGAGCACCTGAAGGTAGGGGCCCCTCCCTCCAGGCCCAGGGCCTCTGGGGAGGGCACTGCTGTCCACTCCAAAGGTTTTCTGGATACAGCAGGGATAACCCTTCATCCTGGAATGTTCATCTCTGCAGTAGATGCTGGTGGAAGTGTGGCTGCACACTTCCTTGCTTTTCTTAAATGGAAGGCCCAGTGAAATTCGACCTTTCCCTGGTGCCCTAGACTGGAAAGGGAAGGTATCTCTGGTTTACCAAATTAGAAAAAGCCCAAGATGGGCCAGAACTCCGGAGGGCTAGATCAGCTGTACTCCTGGGGCCTGGCCTGGTCTGGTTCTTTAGGGGTCACTCTGATGCCCTGGGGAGACCCCTCATTCCAGTCAGCCCTCCCCCAGCAGTCCTGCACACAGCACAGGGCGCTGGCCATGACCTGCTCGCCATCATGGCACTGGTCACTGCTCCAGTCTGAAGTGCTTACCTGCATCGTTTCATTTGATCCTCGCACCAGCCCCCTGAGGCGGTCACTTGCGTGCTCCCTGCTTTACAGAGGGCGGTGCTGAGGCTGAGAACGTGGAGACACTTGCCCAGAGCCATGGGCCGAGGCAGGGGGAGCTGGCACTGGGCTGGAGCACACACCTCTGACCGGTCTGTCTGCTCTGCTGCCTTCCGGCTTCTTCGCCTCTTCTGGCTCCCGCCACCGTCCCTGCCTCCTCTCGCCCAGGCTGCCACCCAGGGCCACTCGTAGCACAGGAGGCGGGAGCTTTATTTTAGGTGCGACGCCTGCCGTGGGCTGCAGCACCGTCTCTGAAGGGCGGTGACAAGAACTGCCAGGACATCTGGAGACCTGAGGCTGGTGATAGACACTGACAGTCCCGCCATCCCTAAAGGCAGCCACAGAGCCAGGTCCCATCCTGCCCCAGACTTTGCCACTCACATGAACCCCCCCCTTTTTTAAAGAATTTATTTATTTATTTTTAGAGAGGGGAAAGGAGGGAGAAAGAGAGGGAGAGAAACATCAATGTGTGGTTGTGTCTCATGCACCCCCTTCTGGGGACCTGGTCTGCAACCCAGGCATGTGCCCTCACTGGGAATCGAACCAGCGACCCTTTGATTCGTAGGCTGGCGCTCAATCTACTGAGCCACACCAGCCAGGGTGCCATGGGAACTCTTGTGCTGCTGTAGCAAAGAACTATTGTGGGAAGGAGGAGGAGAGAAATCCAGAAGCTTTAGAGACCAGTGGTACAGTTGTTAGCAAGGTAAGGGAAGATCAGAGACCCCCAGATGCCTTTCCCCTCTTTCAGTGTGAAAGACCGTATAACCAGTCTCTGAGTCTTCTCTCTTAAAATCAGATTTTTAAAAAATTCGAAATGAAAACAAATCCTCTCAAGGGCAGATGCAGCTAGGTTTTCAGAGAGCTCTCAGCCCTCCCCACAGCAGGAACACGGCTCCCAGCAGGTTGCTTTCCTGCCGGCTGCGCCCGTCCTGCTGGAATCCACTGGGAGCCGCTGGCCTCACCGAGGAGACCGAGCCGCCCCCGGATCTGCACGTGCGGGAATTTAATCTATTAGCGAGCCCAGCTCTGAGGAGACTCTGGTTCCGATTCACATCCGCCACACTTACATTTGTAGCTGACCCTCAGAGGCCCAGCATTTAGCGCTTGAAAGAGTCGCATGTACTAGAGTTCTTTAGTTGTTAGCCCTTGGGTGGCTGATCTAAAAAAGCACAGAAGGCCCATCAGGAATCCGTCGTCTGAGTTCTGGGACATCATGTGTTCCCATTTCCCACTTGCCCTGTGGTCAAGAGCAGCTGTCTTTAAGGAAGTGCATGGTTGTCGCTGAAACCGTCAGTCTGAGACTGGAATCACGGACCTTAAACGTCAGAGCTGGAAAGACTCAAAGATCTAGTCTGCCCTCCTGCCATCCACCCCTCCCCCATTTTCTGGCGGGAACAGCCGAGCCCTGGTGAGGTGAAGGGACTGGCCCGGGTCCCAGCTGGGCCCCAGGTTCCCACACCCACTCCACTGCCTTCCCCACTAGCATGTGGGCTGGTCCACACCGCGCTCCCCAAAGAAACTTCCCAGTTCCTGGTCCCTGTGGAGGCAGGCAGGCAGGCAGGCACCTGCCCCTGTCTGTCCCCTTTTGTCAGTTGTATTTTCCTCCTGTGCCTCACTGGTGACCATCATGTGGCTTTTCTCTCCTCTGAGATTCTCACCCCCCCCCCACAGTTCTGAGCCAAGGAGAGCACACAGGGTGGGGCGATGAGCTGAGTAGGACGGTGCTGCCCGAAGCCACCCCGCCCCCACCCTCGGCTGCTCCAGGGGCGCTCAGCCCCTCCCTCCCTCTCTGCCCTGCGCAGCACGTCCACAGCCTGGGCCAGGGAGGGAGAGAGGGATGGAAACAGGAGGCAGGCCCAGGTGGTGGCACAGAGCACGCTCCAGTGGCAGATGCCCATGCTTTTCACCCAGAAATAGTGTTCGGTTCCTACAGTGGACGGCACATGCGTGGGTTTGTTCTGCCTCTCCCCATGCCAGCTGTGTGACTGAGGAAAGCTTACCTTTGCTGTGCGGGTTTCCTCGTCTGTAGAGAGAGAACGATAGCACTTTAACATTTCGCCCACAGCCTGTGGTCGAGATGAAGTCACGTACAACAGCGAATGTGGGGGAAATGGGCCTGGCGCATAGTGGGAACTCAGGCAGCTGGTCACTGTTCTCCCTTGCCCCAGAGGCTTGTCCGGTTTCCCGGGCATTTCGGAAGCATCCACAGCAGCAGCAGCAGAGGTGACAGAGCTCCTCCACGAGGGAGATGACACGTCCCTGCACTCGCCACACACTGGCCATCATTCTAAACCTTCTGCACATATTGGCCAATTGATTCTCCCCAGCGGCCCCTGAGGTGGTTATTATCCCCCTTCTCCAGGGGAGGACATAAGGCACAGAGAGGGCGAGTCCCGGGGCTCAGTGGTGAAGGCAAGATTGATATCCAGGCGGCATGGCCCTGGAGTCCCTGCCCTGACCACCAGGCAGCGCTGGGCTCGGGCAGCGCGGACATGCTGTTTTCACACCCCCAGTTCCGACAGGTCGGACAAGCCCGCCCGTGTGCATTCGGCCAGAGGACACCAAGGACAGCCGGGAAGGGTGGGACTAGACTTCTGACATCAGGTAGATTCCAACGGGGAGGGAGATTAGAGAGCGGCTGGGCAGTACACGCAGTGGTTAGCACTTGGCTTTGGAGTCATGCAGACCGGGGTCTGGTCACGCCCTGCCTTGCACCAGCTCTGGGATCTCGGGCAACTTACTCCTCCTCTCGGGGCCTCGGAGACCCCGCCTGTGTTACTTCCTGAGCTGCTGGGAGGATTCTGTGAAGTAGCGGGCTCAGCGTGCAGATGGGAGGCGGGGGTGACTGCACAGGGAGCCCTCACAGCCTTGTGCTCGTGAGTTCTCCAAGTTTCCAGACATGAAGTGTGAGGCTGTCGTGGGAACAAGGAGTGGTCCTGGAAAATTCCAGTGCTCACAGGAGGCTGGTCCCTGTGCTGCAAACATGAGGTTTCCCACCAGTCTCACTACCCTGTGCCACACCCGGATAAGGGAGTGGGGGTCCTGAGGGGGAAGACGCTTGCCCAGAAGAGCAGCTGACAACCCAGCAGCATTTCCAAGAAAAAGAGTCTAGGTTTTGATCTAGGGCAGAGATGCAGTGGGAGGGTAAAAGGAAGGCCAGGCCGGGGGAGGGGGGGTTGGACCTGCCTGGGTCCTGACCAGCAGGAGAGAGCAAAGCGCAGGTTCAGCCTGAGGATAGCCTTGTAGCCTGGGCGCAGGGAGGGAGGTGAAAGCAGGGGGCGTCCGGGTTTGGGGGCATCCCAGAGAGCCCCAGCGGAGTGGCGAGAGGCCATGTGATGAAGTCAGCCCAGGGCGTTTGTTTCCAGCTAGGAGCCCTGGGAACGTGTGGCGCTCCCACTGTGGCAGCTGTCTCGGAAGAAGGCAGCAGACCCCGGACACGGATTGGAGCTCATGGGCTGGGCAGGTTCTTGGCCAGAAGGCAGACCCACCCAGGGTGGGTCAGGGTCGCCTGTGCGCCATGCACAGTGGACCCTTCCCTGGTAACAAAACACCACGGCCAAGGTATGACGTCGTTCTCAGTTTCCAGACAAGCCAGCGCCCGTCCAAGTCATCTCTGCACCAGTGCCTCGCACCACCTCCGGCCCAGCCCATTTCCGTGGGTGGGAGAGAAGGGGTTGCGCTTCAGCTGGTAAATGCCCTGGAATCACTGGGCGAGGCTGTGAGCATGCGTTGCCCATTGCTTCTGTGGCGTCCCTCCCAGCAAGGATGAAGACCGAGAGCCGTTGCTGGGACTGCCCTTTTCCGAGGCCCAGGCTTCTGCTCGAACCTCCCCAGTGCTCGGGTGGCTTTCCTCACACACCCTAGCTGCTGGGTCTCACCCCCTCCGCTGGGCAGCCTGCAGAAGGAAAACTCTAGGCTCAGAGAGGGGCACCACAGCCTTACTCACAGTCAGGAGCAAACTGGCCACCCAGGGCTCAAGTTAAAAAACAAGAGAAGGATTATAACTAAGTTACAAATTTATCCAATAAAATAGACATCTGACTTTAAAAATGATCACTGGGGAGTTTCTATGGCAACATAGAAAAGTGTTTACAAAGGACACTGAGGAAAAAAATTTTCCACCCAAAATTGTTCAGTGTGATCACAAATATATGACAAGGTACTTTAAAGACAAACCTCGCTTGAGGGTTTGTTGTTTTGGTCCCTGCCCTTAGCGTCATGACAGATGCTCCTTCACTTAGTCCCTGGGCGGCCCAGAGAGGTAGCTGCTATTCGTTCCCTTCACAGATGGGGACCGGCGAGGCGGGGCAGTGCAGTGAGGGCTCCTGGCCAGGAGGTCAGAGGCAGGACCTGACCTCCAGGCTCAGCGCTCTTTCCACCATTTGATTCTGGGATCCAGATGAGGGAAAGGGGGCTGCTAGAAATTTTGTTTTCTTTCAGACTTCCTCTTCTGTTTGCATTATTGGAAATCTCTAAAGAAAGGAAGTGTTGGCAGCCCATTTGAGGGTGAGAACCAGGGAGGTGTTCATGGTACAAGTCCTCAACTGCTTTGCTCTCTTCTCCAGGATGACATGGAAGCCTACCGGACCCAGAACCGCTTTCTCAACTCTGAGATCCACCAGGTCACAAAGATCTGGAGAAAGGTGGCTGAGAAGGAGAGGGCCCTCCTGATGAAGGTGAGAGGCGGGGCCCCTGTTCTGGCCACCCTTTCCGTCTCCTCACCCCCTCACGCCCGCCTCACTCTCCTCACCGCCCGTCTACTCTCCCTCCGGACTGCACCCTTCGTGAGCTGCCTTCCAGGTGTCGGGTGTCTGCGCTCCGGAGCTGCTTCTGCTCCCAGCGGTGCAGAGGGGAGGCGGGCGCTCACCGCTGTTGCAATAATTGAAATAATTGCTGCTGCACATTATTTCAAGCCCCTCCTGGAGAAGGTCACTTTCAGGGACTCTAAAGAGCTGGTACCCTTTTTCCCACCTTTATTTTTTCTCTTTTCTCCTTTGGGAAGCCAAATATTGAAGACTAAACACTCAGAAACAGCTGCATGTATGAGATATGAGAAAACTTAGAAAGTGACCGTGCATGCTCAGAGAGAGGCCCAGAAAAACCTGGGGGGACCTCAAGTTTACACTTCTGGCCGATGCTTGGCACAGAGGTGGCCTATACAATTAAAGCAAGGAAAGCAATTAAGAAAAAAAACAAGACAGCAAACCCTATGAAAAAGGGAGAACCTGATTTACAGATTTACCACATTATTAGATTCAAATGTCTGGTTTTCAACAAAATATCACAAGATATACAATAAATAAATAAATAAATAAATAAATAAATAAACAGGAAAGTATAGCCCATTCAAAGGGGGGAAAATCAACAAAAACTGTCCCTGAAAAAAGCCCTGATGGCAGATTCACTAGACACACATTTTAATACAGTTATCTTAAAGATCTCAAAGAACTAAGAAAAGACATGTGGAATCAAGAAAGTAATATATGAACAAAATGGAATCTTAATATAGAGAAAGCCTAAAAAGAAACCAGAAGAAATTCTGGAGCTGAAAAGTACCAGCACTGAAATGAAAAATTCGCTGGAGAGATTCGAAGGGAGATTGGAGCAGGGAGGCAGAATCAGTGATGATGAAGACAGGGCAATGGGAATTATCGATTCTGAGAAACAGGGAAAGATTAGAAAAAGTAAACACTAAGTGGACCAACAATCCCTATTATATGATGGGAATCCCAGGAGGGGAAGAGAGAGACAAAGAGGCAGAGAGAATATTGGAAGAAATAGTGGCTGGAAATGTCTCAGAGTTGACGAGAGACATGAATATAAACCTCAAGTTTAATATAAACTGAAAGAGACCCACACCAAAACACGTTACTACCAAATTTTCTAATGCCAAAGACAAAGAGATATCTTGAAAGCAGAGAGAAGTGACTCATCATATACACGGGAGCCTCCATAAAATTATGAGAAGATTTCTCATCAGAAACTTTGGAAACCAGAAGGCAGTGGCTTAAAATATTCAAAGTGCTAAAAGCCATCAACCAAGAATCCATATTTGGCAATACTTTCCTTCAAAGGTGAGAAAGGAATCAAGACATCTTCAGGTGCACAAAAGACTGAGGGTGTCCGTCAGCACCAGGCCCACCGAGGGCAGAGCAGGCCCAGTGGCGTTGCCCCGGGAGATGCATGGGGGAGGCCCGCAGAGGCGTGTGAGGGAACACCAGAGAGTAACTCACAGGGGCGTGAGGAAGTAAGGATCTCGTTCAGGTATATACGTAGGTCACTATAAAAGCTAGTAGCATTGTAAAAATTGTTTATGTCCCCACTGTTTGTTTTCTACACAATTTAAGAGACTACATTTTTCAAAAGATCTTATTTATTTTTTAGAGGGGAAGCGAGGGAGAGAGCAAGAAAGAAACATTGATGTGTGAGAAGAACATCAATCAGGTGCCTCTCACACACGCCCCAACCAGGGATGGGCCCACAACCCAGGCATGTGCCCTGACAGAGAGTCGAACCGTCGACCTTTCACTTTGTGGGATGGTGCCCAAGCCACTGAGCCACACCAGTCAGGGCGAGACTACATTTAAAAACAAAAACAAAAACAATTATTAGTCTGAAAGCTAATAGTAGTACTGGTTTTTAACTCCACATTTTGTTTTCTACATAATTTCAGAGACTAATGCATTTAAAAGAATTATTTGTGTTTCGGGGCACACAATGTATAAAGGTATAATTTTGTGAAATCAGCAACCAAAAGGGTTGGAATGGAACTATTAAGGTGCAGAGTTTTTGTATGTTATTAAAGTTAAGCTGGTATAAATTTAAATTAGAATGTTATAACTTATTATTTTAAATGTAATCCCCATGTTAACCACAAAGAAAATAGCTATAGAACACACACAAAAGGAAATGAGAAAGGAATTTAAACACTTCACTACCCAAAATTAACACAAAAATGACAGTAGTGCAGGAAATGGGGGGAAAGAAGTTATATGACTTATAGAATACAAATAGCAAAATGACGGAAGTCCTTCCTGATCAATAATTACTTTAAATGTAAATGGATTAAACTCTCCAGTCAAAAGGCAGATTGGCAGAATGGACAAAAACACACGCTCCAACCACATGTTGTCTACAAGAGACTCACTTTATATCCGAAGACACAAATTGACTGGATGTGAAGTGATGGAAAAGACACTCCATGCCACAGTGACCGAAAGAGAGCAGGGTGGCTATTCTAGTGCCAGACAAAAGGGACTTTAAATGTTAAAACAGTTACAAGAGACAAAGCAAGACATTATACATTAATAAAACCTCAATACAGTGTGAGATACAACAGTTATAATCATGCATGCACCTAATAACAGGCCAGCGAAATCCATGAAGCGAAAACTGGCAGAACAAAAGGGAGTCACGGAGGGCTCTACAACAATAATCGGAGACTTTGGTATCCCACGGGCTGACGGGTCAGACAGCCCAGAGAAGATAAGCAAGGGACCCGAGGGCCTGAGCAGCACGATGACCAGCCGGATCTAACAGACGCATGGGGACCTCCCCGCCTACAGCATCGTGCGTATCGGCCCCACGTGTGTGCGGGACACTTCCCAGGACGGACCACCTGTTGAGCCACAAATTATGTCTCAACAGATTTAAAAAGACAGATGTCATACGAAATCTGTTTTCCAACCACAATGGGATGAAGTCAGAGATTAATAACAGAAGTAAAGCTAGAAAATGCACGCATCTGTGGAAATCAAACAACATATTCTTAAACAGTGAGTCAACGAAGAAATCACAAGGGAAATTACAAAAAGACCAATGAAAAAGAAGACATAAGAGACCAAAACTTAGGAGGCACAGTGAAAGCCTTGCAAAAGAGGAAATTTATAGCTGTAAGTGCTTTAAAAAAATTTTTTAAAGCTCAAATGACCAGCCTAACTTTACAACTTAAGGAAGTGGAAAAAGAACCAAACCCAAGGCGGCTGAAGGAGGCGAAGATGAGAGCAAGGGACAAATGAGACCAAGAACAATAAAGAAAATCAATGAGACAAGTTAATTTTTTAAAAAGATCAACAAAATTGGCAAAGCTTTAGCTAGATAGACTAAGAAAAAGAGAGAGAAGGCTCAAATTAAAACCAGAACTGAAAGCGGTGGCATTATTATTGATTCTGCAAAAGTAAGAGGGATGATGAGAGAGTGCTGTAGACGGTGTGGACCCACAGATCGGATGCCCTAGACGAAGCGGACGAGCCCCTGGAGACACAAAGCCACTGAGACGGAATCACAGAGAAACAACGTCTGAGTAGACCTGCGACTAGCAAGGGGATGGGCTCAGTCCCAGAAATCCCCCGACAGAGAAAGGCTTCACCACCAAACGTTTGAAGAACCAGGACCAGTCCTTTTCAGGCTTTTGAAGACGGGTGCAGGTGAGCGAGGGAGCTGAACACAGTCGAGATGCAGTGGGGCACACGGGGTTCTTTGGGGCCTAAAGGGAGAAAGAGTCAGAGAAGGCTTCCTGGTGGAGGTGTCTTCTGAGCTGAGTCCTAGAAATGAGTTACTGCTGTCTAGACAGAGCGGAGAAAAGCCTTCCAAGAAGAGTGGCCGTCAAGACCCGCGGGCTGAGGGAGGCAGGGGGAGGGGGGAGGCTGGAGGGCGAGGACTTGGGGGCGCGTCCGAGGAAGCTGCAAGCCGTCAGGGGGGTTGAGTGGGGAGGGTCTTGGTTGGACTTCTGTTTTGAGAGAACTGTGGGTGCTCAGTGGACTGAACAGGTGGTCCTGGGGGCAGGAAGACTTGGGAATCTGTGGCAGAGTCCCCGAGAAGGCTAGGGTGGTGGGAGGAGGGGGCTCAGGAAGCCCCAGAGGTGGAGGGGAGCCAAGGTGGGGGCCCGCTGAAACAGGTAGAACAGGCCGGCAGGATGGCTTGGTGTCCGTGCTCAGCAAATGTTTGGAGATGGTGACCCAGAGGCAGGGGTGCCACAGAATGGCAGCCTGGCCCAGGAGGCTCCCACCGTGCCCCCCAGGATGCGACATGGCCCAGAGGCCACGGCAGCACTGCAAGGCACACCTTTCCCATCGCCATCCTCCAGAGGAGAAAAGTGGGGCCCAGGGAGGCTACCCGACTCGGCCGGCACTGCCCAGCTTATATAAATAGAAGCGCGGGGTTCAAGGCAAAGGGAGGCTGTGCAGTGTGTGTCCCGTGAGGGGAGAGAGGCGGTGTGCTGGAGGAGCAGAAAGAGCCCACGTGGTGGCAGCAGGAGGTAAAGGGCAGTGTCCCCTTGTACCCATGTCCAGAGCCCCAATGTCCGTCCCCGGGCACTGCTCATTCATACCGCCTGCGGACAGCTTGCTCTGGGCCAGGGCCCTGGGAAGGGCTTGGCACCCGTCAGCCCCTCCGAGCCTCTCCAGAATTCAGGGGCAGACTCTGTGTTGTCCCCGTTGTCCAGGTGGCACAGGGAAGTTAAGGACCTTGCCATTCGTTGCCCAGCCAGCAGCAGCCGAACCAGGATACGACTGCAGGCTGTACAAGAGCCTGTGCTGTCTCTGCCCACCCCTCCCTCCTCCTTCTGAATGCAGCTGCAGCTCCAGCCCTGCGCCTGGTTCGGTTCGCACTCAGCTGGTTGTAAACCCTTGGACCTGGAGCCCGCCTCCTTTCCCTGACCTGCAGGGTGGCTGGTGGGGGGGGGGTGCGGGGGGGGGGTGGGGGGGGATACAGAGTTGGGAGAAGGGTGTGCTGCCTGAAGCTGCTCAGGCCCCAGGCCTCTGGGGCAGCCCCAGCCCAACCAGGTGGCCTGACAGCGCCCCTCTCTCCCCCACCGGCAGTGTGCCTACCTCCAAGCCAGGAACTGCCAGGTGGAGAGCAAGTACCTGGCAGGGCTGCGGAGGCTGCAGGAGGCCGTGGGCAGCGAGGCCAGCGAGTGCGCCGAGCTGCTGAGGCAGCTCATCCAGGAGGCTCTGCAGTGGGAAGCCAGTGAGGCCTCTGCTGACGCCGTGGAGCTGAGCCCCGTCAGGTGAGCCCAGCGGCGGCCGGGGCAGGGCGGGCTTCGCTGGACCTGGGGGTCCCCAGGTGCCCTGCTGGCTGTGTGTGAGCACCGCACAGCTCTCACCTCCGCTTACTCTCAGATAAGTGAGCATGTGGCTGGGGCGGGCCCCATTTTACAGCTGAGGCAGGGCGGGCTCAAAGGAGGCAGCCTCTTGCCCGAGGCCACATGGCACATCGGTGCCGCTGACCTGGGGCTGCCTCCCCAGGCTGCCTCCCAGGGGTGTTTGTCAGAGAGGCAGGGAGAGGGGAGGGCCAGCGGCCTCCCCTGAGCCAAGCCCTTGCTCAGCACAGGGGACAAGGACAGTTAAATCACGACAGGAGGGGCTGCGGCTGGCATCCAAGGCCCTTGGAGTCTGGGTGGCCCAGTGGCAGGAGCCCAGGCTTTGAAGCCAGATGTGGGTCACTCACTGGGTGACCCTGGACAAGTCACAGAAATGAATTCTCAGAGCCCCCTGTGCAGCTTCCATAGACGTGTGCAAGGTCGCTGCTTTGCAGGGTTACTGGGATTCAATGATGCAGCGCACGCAGAGCACACGCAGGGGCAAATCCATGTTGAAGGGGTGAGAGGCCGTCAGGAACGGGTCCCCAGCTCTCCCATCTCTGTCTGTCACTTGCTGCTGTCTGCACCCTACCCATTTTGGGCTTACTGGCTGTGGAAGTGGGGTTCTCTATTGACAGTGCAAGACTCCTTGGGCCCAAGGCACATGGAGGAATAAGAGGATTCTTCATATTGGCACGGAGTGAATAAGCGAATGTCTCTTCAGCACTTATTCGTGCCAGGCACTGTGTAGGTCCCCAGCCGCTTATAACAGGACCTCAGTGGGTCTTCACGAGGCAGAGCCGGAGTTTACCCACCCATTGTACAGATGAGCAAGCTGAAGTCCAGAGAACTGAGGGACCTGTCCAGGGCCGCAGGGCTAACCCACAGTGAAGCCATGGCAGGAACCTTGCCCCGGGTGCACCCCCTCCCCACTGCCCCTTATCTGGGGAAGGGCTCTGCTGGGGGTTACTAACACAGGCTTCTGCTGGCAGCGAGTATGATGAGTACGGCTTCCTGACGGTGCCCAACTACGAGGTGGAGGACCTGAAGCTGCTGGCCAAGATCCAGGCCCTGGAGGTGCGCTCCCACCACCTGCTGGCCCACGAGGCTATGGAGCGACCCCTGCGAGAGCGCTGGGCTGCGCTGGGTGAGCTCGCACCCTCCGTGGAGCTCAAGCAGCTGCTGCGCATGGGCGTGTCCCAAGAGCACCGGCCTCGGGTCTGGAGGTGGCTGGTCCACCGCCGCCTGCAGCACCTGCAGGTCCCCGGCCGCTACCAGGAGCTGCTGAGCCGGGGCCAGACCTGCAAGCACCCTGCCGCCCGCCAGATCGAGCTGGACCTGAACCGAACCTTCACCAACAACAAGCACTTCACCTGCCCCACCTCCAGCCTGCCAGACAAGCTCCGCCGGGTGCTGTTGGCCTTCTCCTGGCAGAACCCCTCCATCGGCTACTGCCAGGGCCTGAACAGGTAGGTGAGGACACGGCCGTTATCCTTCAGGGCAGCCCTCTGTCTGTCTGGAGCTTCTCAAGAACCTGGAGAGGTGAGCCCAGGAGGCCTGATGTGACCCCCGCTGTGCGGATGGGGACAAGCAGGTGAAAGGACACGTCCAGGGCAGAGGTGGGTCCGAGCTCAGTGCTCCTCGTTCCAGGCTCTGTCCCTCCGTTTGTGCTCAGGGTGGTGCCACCCCGCAGCAGACCTGGGGAGTGGTCCCCTGAGTCATGTAGGGCACGGCCCAGCTCACAAGTCGGGCGACTGTGTGGGTCAGGGACCACTTGCTTTCAACGAAACCCTCTCAGCAGAGACTAGAGACCACGTGGTCGTGGGAAGCCGGGCGACGGCACAGCCCCAGGGCCCCCTCCACCCCTTTTCCTGAGGGTCAAGGCCCCGGAGCTGTGCAGGTCTGAGAGGGCACTGCTCTGCTGCCCTCGGTGGAGCCGCCCGGTCTGCGGCCTCTCGTTCCGCGTCTCTGCCTCCCACTCCCTCAGCAGACCAGCCTCCCTGTCCATCGCTCCTTGGACCTTCAGGGCCCGTGGAGGCTGCCAGAACGGGGACCTCGGCCCCTGAGGCTGGAGCCTTTCAGCAGGTCTGTTCTGTCCATGGCCCCACGTCCCAGATCTCAGTTCCCTAAGGAAGGAATCCGATGGGCCCGGCCTGGGTGGATTTCGCCTTCCAGTCCAGCAGCAGGGGACAGGCGGCAGGGGTGGGCAGGCCTGGGAGGGCTGCCCCCTCCAGCGCAGTGCTGCGGGTGCCGCTCCTGGGTGCCCCCCGTCATCTCAGGAGAGGTGAGATCTCTCAGATCTCAGATCTTCCCCGAAGCAAGTTCTGACTCAGCTTAAACATACACATGCCAAGCGAGAGTTACATGAGTCATTCTGCTGGTTTTCCAGAATAGATGGAGTGTGGCACTGATTCCACACAGAACAGTCAGTCAGGCTGTCCCCACTCTGACTGGAATGGTTCCAAGGGCAGGTATTTCTGATACTTTATTTCCAGTCTAACTTGGGCAAAATCGAGCACATACGTGTGCAGTCACTGGGAATCCTGAGTGAAACCCCAGACAGTGCACCTGTGCGGAAGGGGTGGGGGCAGGAGCCATGCCAGAAGGGGTCTGAAGACGACCCTCAGAAGGAGACAGGCCGGGGTACATGGGAGGAACTGAGACCGAGAGAGGTGACGCCCACAGGGCATTTCTTTACTTCTCTCTCTCAGTGTTTTCTTGTTTACTGGTTATTGGTATTTGGTAAAATATTCATGTTACGGCTTCAAATAGAAAGCTATTTGTAATAGAACCTGTTCGAAAGCAGAGGGTGCTGCTGCTTCTTTCAAAGGCCCTTAAACCCAAGCCCGCAGGCCCCTTTCACTTGTTGGGTGCCGCCATCTAGTGGTAGCCACCGGAACTGCATGTGTCGTGTCTGGAGGACAGACCCCGCTTATAGGGAACGAATCCTGCCCGTCTAGAGAGTGGTAGATACCGTGGTAATGATGTAGAGCTAAGTTAGAGCAAACATTTTAAAGCTATTTCCCTTTAAAACATATGTGGAATGCTTTAAAAGTTGTTCCCCTCGCCCCCACTGCCACAGTCCCTCCTTTGCACACCCACTGGACCTTAAATGCCCTCAGTCGGAGTCTGGCTGCAGCCCCGAGCAGTTCGTAGCCCTGGTTGGTGCCAGCTGCCTCTCCCCGCTGGCCTTGCCATGTGCAGAAACCCAAGCCGATGCTGGCAGCCAGCCCCTGGACCGAGCACATCCTGAGGCTCTTGCAGAATAGGGTGAGCTGGGGAGAACAGCAGGATGGAGTTTGTGAGTCCTGGGTTCTGTTTCCACTCTGCCACCAACTGACTGAGTGACCTTGAGCAAGCCAGTTTTGCTCTCTGGGCCTCAGCCTTATCGTGCCTGCAGTGACTGTTTCTAGACCCGTAGGATGCAGCCGCCTTGCCTTGTGACAGGCCCGGAGGCAGCTCGGACTCGGTGGGAAAGAGTGCGGTGATCAATTAGTGATGTCTGCCCTGGGCACCGTCAGAGGGTGGTGGCCATCGGGCCAGCGCAGCATGCATTTGCTATCCCTGAACTCGATGACCTCTGAATGCCCCCCACCACCACCCTTCCCCAGCTCTGAGAGGGCGGAGCTTGCTGTTTCCCAGGAGACCTATGACTACTCTGCTCAGACTCAAGAGGGCTCGTACAAATACTGTAGCCAAAATGGAGAGAAAATCCATCTCAATCTATCGGGGAGATCAAAGGGATTTTTTTTTCTTTTGAGAATTTACCTGGTTTCTCCGAAAAAACATGAACCTGGGAAGAGGTTGGAGGTCACAAATCCAATCTAGTAAAAGCCCAGAGAAGCACAAACATCTATCTGGACAGTGAAATGTGCTCAGCGTGCCTGTGGAGAGTGTGAGCCTCGCCAGCGCTGCAGCATGGGAGCCCCCTGAGGGTGTTCCGTGGGTGTCCTGCAGAAAGGGGGCTCCCCTGGCCCACCGGGCGGCCCTGGGTAGAAGGTCACACGATGCTCGTTTCCCTGCAGGGGTTCTCAGAGGCTGTGCTGGGACCCCGTGTGTCGCTGGCCTCTGAAAGGAAGCTGGAGTAGACAGCAACCCCAAACACCCATCTGCGGGACCTTGTGTTCACCTAGCTTCATGGCCGATGAGTGCATTTGGGAAAATATGTTCTTGGGTTATTCCTGGGAAAGACCCATCAGGAGAGATGGGAGAAGCAGGGAAAATAGTGCTTCCTGCAGGCAGACTTCCTGCCCAGCACTGTGGGGTTTTCCTTTCATGCCCTTGATCTCATTGGAGCCCCATGATAACTTTAGGGGTGGAGCAGGGAGCAAGAGAGAAAAAGAACTCCGTGCACTGAGCACCTGGTGTCTACTAGACAGGGGCATCTCCTCACTCCAGTGCCTCCCAGCCCTAGGAGGCCGATGCTAGTCACACTGCACAGGCAGCAGCTCAGAGAGGCTAGCACACCCGCAGAGGTCTCAAAGCCTGTGGATATTAAGATGAGAATAATTAATATTTATAAAGCACTCACCACGTGTCAAGCACTGTGATGGGCATTTAACATGTATTAAGTGTGTTTACCCCCATAAGAGTCCTGTGATTATTAAGGGAATGCCAAAGCCCAGAGAAATTAAGTGACTTGTCTAGGGTCACCCAGCAAGGAAGTGGCAGGACCAAGATTCACACCCAGGCAGTGGGACTTCAGAGCTTCTGCTCTAAGATGATCCCCATCACTCTGGAGCTGCTCGATGTAGTCCTCCCCAAAAGCGCATTTGTCTCACCCCAGGTGCCAACACCACCAGCCGGTTAGGGGGTGCGGTGGGGCAGGACTGCCCCCTGGGGCCCAGGGAGCCCTGTCTGTCACGAGCTGTCTGTCTGGCCGTGACTTCTGTGGGTAACTCCAGTCCTTCCCTCCCACACAGGCTGGTGGCCATTGCTCTGCTGGTCCTGGATGAAGAGGAGAGTGCCTTCTGGTGCCTGGTGGCCATTGTGGAGACCATCATGCCGGCTGATTACTACAGCAAGACGCTGACTGCGTCCCAGGTGAGCGGGGCCGGGTGGGGACCTAGTAGTGACACAGGTCAGCCCCTGAGTTGTTCCTGCAAGCCGACGAATCTCAGAAAAGTCAGGAATCTCTCAGAATGGGCCAGGAGCCTCTCACCGGGATGGCTAGGAAGTTCTGGTGCGCTAACAACCTTTAGAATTTTGGGGACCCTGCCCACACGATAGACTGTTGTTATTCCAGGGGTGACCTTATGTCATTAGAAACTGTTTGTTTCCTGGGGAGGGAAGGAGAAGAAAATCTAGTGTCCCTTGCTATTTGCCAGTAAGGAATTTCAAAATACAGGTCAGGTGGGGTGGAAGACGGGACTGGGAGGTGGTGGCGATTCTTCACTCATGCTCATCACCCACGGAGGAGTGCAGCAACTCCAGTGTCTCGGGACCTCCTCCATGGCCAGCCGAGCACAGGCCAGGCCTGGAGTCCGGCGACCGTGTCGGGGCCAGCCCCTCCAGCAGTCAGCTGTGTGGCCGGGGTTTGTTGAGGGGTGTAAACGAAAAACCATTTCAACCCTCCCATGGCCACTCGCCCACACCCCCCGCCTCCCCCCTCGTCCTCTTCTTGCTGTGTCTGCACCACCTGCTCTAGGGAGAAAGGCCACCTCGAGGGCACTTTGTCACTCCCCAGCCCCAAACCCGCCCAGCCGTCACCTGCCCATCCATCCTGTCCCGCTCTCCTGCTGCGGTCGCGTGACTCCAGTCCCTCCTCCTGGGGCATCCCCCGGGGTGGGGAGCTCAGGGGAGCGTGGGTACTCAGGTGTGGAGTGGAAAGGTCAGGGCTGGAGATGAAGAGCTGGGATCGTGGGGAAACAGGCAGCGAATCAGGTAAGGAGGTGTTTGGCTGCCCAGAGGGAGAGCCCAGCCTAACAGCAGCTTAAGAGGCGGGTTCTTGTCAGGGAGAGAGAAAGCCGAAGGCTCCTTCTAGGCCCCTGCTCTGCCATCCTGGCACGTGGCTTTCACCCTCCGGCTCATGGTCTTGAGGGCGTCGGACGGCTGCACCGCCTCCGGCACTGTGGCCACGGCCCAGGTGGGAAGAAGCAGAGGGTGGAAGGCCAGAGCCAGCTCCTTTCAAACAGCTCCCCCAACCGCACAACTCCTACTCCCACCCTCGCGCCCCCCCGCACAACCATATCGCGTGGCGCCTCTGCTTGCAAGGCAGGCCAGGAAGTGTTCCGTATTTTACCTTCACATTTTAACATCCCTGAAGTTGTGTGTTGTATAACCAGTGTGTCGTGGTGGGTTGTTTTTGTTTTCAGTGTTTAGAAACTTTCATTTTGAGGAAATTTTGAATGTCCAAAAACACTGAGAAAACAGTAATGCCAGCCTCCGTGTCTCTGTCACCTGGTCTCAATGATCATCAGCCCCGGGAGGCCGGTGCTGTTCCCTCGGAACCCCCGCCCCTCCTCCTGCTTTGGTGATCCTGAAGTAAATCTCAGACCTCACACTGGCTCGACCGTAACCCCTGCGGGAGGCTTGGTGGCACCTCAGAGTGAACGGTCGCCCGAGGCTGTGAGCTGGACGCCAGGCCTGCACAGCGGGCCCGGGCTTCTGGGAGAGGCAGGAAGGAAAGGGAGGGTGCGGCGCAGCGGGCAGCCGACGCCCGGAAGATGGCTCGGGTGGGAGGGGAGGGCTGGGAGACCAGCGGTTTCGGAAACGGGCAACGGGAGACTCAGCGGCCGGTCTAGGAGGTGGGGGGCCGACCGCAGGAGAGCCATGTCCTAGAGCCGGGAAGGAGCCAGTGCTGCGAGTAGCCCGCGGGACCAGTACAACAAGCGGGGAGGTGTGACAGCGGCCACGTGGAGAGGCCGTGCGCACCCGTCGCCCAACAGTGGCCCCTTTAAGAGCATTCCTTGATGTTCAGGGTAGCAGGACAGTGTGGCTCCTCCTGACACCTGCCCCCAGGCCCCCCGAAACATGCGTGGAGCATCCTGCGCATCGAGCCCAAAGTGGGTATGAAGGAGCAGCCGTGGTGTCGGCTTGAGGTTCAGAGGGGCAAAGGGGCCCAAGCTCCAGCAGCCACGACCTTGGCAGCCCACAGAGACTCCAGGCCAAAGCTCCGAGCTGCAGCCTGGGAGCAGCGGGGGCTGTGTTGCTGCACCTTCTCCCAGCCAGGCTGGCTCTGGGCCCCTGGGCAGGGCAGGACCCAAGCTGAGGCTCCGGAACTGTGTGTGGCTGGGCGGCAGGGGCCCGGAGGGAGAGCAGCAGCTGATGGGCCCTCTCGCTGGCCTCCAGGTGGACCAGCGGGTATTCCAGGACCTCCTGTCAGAGAAACTGCCCAGGCTGACGGCCCATCTGGGGCAGCACCGCGTGGACCTCTCTTTCATCACCTTAAACTGGTTCCTCACGGTCTTTGCCGACAGTCTCATCAGCAGCATCCTCCTCCAAGTCTGGGACGCCTTCCTCTATGAGGGCACCAAGGTAGGGCACTGCCGGGGGTGTGCGGGAGGGTCCTGGGCAGGACCCTTCACCCTCGGGGCCTCAATTCGGCCCCTGGACAACGGGAGGGCAGTGACACCTGGGAGGGCTGTGGAGCATGTCTGCCCGGAGCGTTGGCTTGTAAACTGAGTGCTTTGCACATGCGCTTGAGGAAGTGGTGCGGCCTCCAGAGGCGCCCAGTAAAGTTGGGGGAGGCTCCTGTCCCCGGAGACCCAGGAGGGACATCCCCATTCCATCCGCCGCCACTTAGTCACCTGGGCCCCTCCTTCTCTTCCTCCTGTTGGGACGGAGCTCTGGATCAGGAGGTTGGCGCTTGGGTCTGGTCCCAGCTCTGCCCGTGACCTTGTCAGGAGACCCTGGACAGGCCCTCGCCCACCGTCCAGCCGTTTCCACGGGGTGGCTGGTAACATACTGCACGGCACAGCGTAGAGGGCCCTCGGGTTTGTCGTTCCGCCGACCCCCGCCAGTGCCCCGTGTGAAGACGGAACTACCCCCACTCAGTCCCACCAGGGCTGGGGCCCCACCTAGGGCCCCAGGACAGAGCCGGGGCTCAGCCCCAGCCGCCGGATTCCAAGCCGTGCTCCCCACTCGGGTTTCTGATCTCCCTGCCGCTGGGCCTCCCATAAGCTTTCAGCCTGTCCGGCCTGTCCAGGACCCCCCACTGCCTGGTTCTCCTCCCTCTGGGAGCTTCCTGCCCCAGCCCCTGTGCCCCACCTGAGCTCCCACCTCGTCCCCAGGTGCTGTTCCGCTACGCCTTGGCCATTTTCAAGTACAACGAGGAGGCGATCCTGAGGCTGCAGGACAGCCTGGAGATCTACCAGTACCTGCGCTTCTTCACCAAGACCATCTGCGACAGCCGGTGAGCACCCACCCCTGCTGCCCACCACGGCCCCCACCCACACCCACGCAGGCGTCACCTTCTCCAAGAAGCCTTCCCTGACCAACCTTTCCTTAGTGGGCTGGAACGCCCACGGCCCTGAGCTTCCTCCTGCCTCGATACATATGACTTTGGGTGGAAATTGTCTCCTTCACCGTTTCCTCCCTGGACAGTGAGCTCCCCAGGGGCAGCGGCCAGGGGCCGTGTTGGCCGCCTGCCTGGGAAGGCACAGTTTGTGCAGGCACCAGGGGGCGCTGTGCCCGGGGCTGACTGCGCTCTCCCCACCAGGAAGCTGATGAACATCGCCTTCAATGACATGAACCCCTTTCGCATGAGACAGCTGCGGCAGCTGCGGACGGCGCACCAGGAGCGGCTGGAGGCCGAACTGCGGGAGCTGGAGCAGCTCAAGGCCGAGTACTTGGAGATCCGGGCGTCCCTGCACCCAGTGATGCCCGAGGGTTGCACCAGCGAGGACGAGGGGGACGGGGAGGCCTGACTGGTGTTCCCCACTGGTGTTCCCCAAAGCACTTTCTCATCCTCCGCCGGCAGGCCCAGAGGAGGACAGCCATGGAGTGGGGGTCCAGCCCTCTGAGCTCCATCACCCGGTGACGCTGGGCAAGCCCCTCCCCTCTCTGGGCGCCAGCCTCCCCATCGGACCTTGTCTGCCAGTCAGGTTGTCTCCTCACGCATGCGCACCAGAGCTGCTGCCCTTCCTTACTCCCCCCTCAGAGCACTCTGCGTGCAGACCAGAGTGCTGTCTCTGCGGGGAGCCTGGAATGTTCCCTAAGTTTATCTGCACAAAACAATGTAAATATGAGAAGCAGTTCACAAGCTTTGGAACTCACACAATTCTCAGTAACCACCTGGTCTGGGCGAGTCCGCCACTAGGGCCTTCCCGGCCAGGGACGTCCCCGGCTGCTGTTCCTGCGACGTGTCTGCAGGGCTGGTGCCCCCCGGTCCCCTGGGGAGCCAGGGCCCTGTGCACGTGGGGCTTCCGTCTTTCTGGGCGAGAGCGCCTCTCCAGCTCCTGCTGCCGGGGCCTGTTCCTGAGCCTCACTGTTCCTGAGCCTCGCTCGGACCTGTGCCCCGCTTTCCACTCACAGCCCATGTGGGTGGGGGCAGGGGTGCCCAGGAAACGCCCACCCACCACCAAGAGGAACAGGGTGTGGGCAGAGAGCCCGGGATCTGCAGTCCCCTGGTCTCCCAGCACCAGCCTCGCTCGAAGAGCCGCCTCTTCTCGGAGAACGGGGGTTGGGCAGGGAGGAACAGGCAGTGAGAGGGACAGCCGCAGCCTGTCCCCACCCCCTCCAGGCCTGGTCAAGGCCACCCGGTGACTGTGGCAGCTCCTTTCTCAGCGAAACCCGTGACTGAGGTCGGCAGCCTTTGGTACGAAGGACTGGGGGTGCGGGGTCCTCACGTGGAAACCTAGCTCTGCTCCGAGGATCTCGTGCAGGGCGGGCAAGGAGGCCGCGCCCATCACTGGGGAGCAGAGACTGGCTGTCTGTCAGCCGCAGGCGTGGACCTGGGTTGGCACACCCGGCACCCGGTCCCCCCACACACAGCCCTGGGGAGGGGATGCTCTGGTTCCTTTCCTGCCACATTCACGGGGGCTCCAGGGCGCCAGGTTTCCCCTGGATTCCCCACACAGGGGCCCGGCGGCCTTTCTCCTTTTTACTGTACTTTCTTATACACCGAGGCCATTTCATCTCCAGACGGTATCTGTGCAGCATGACGGCCCTGAGAGGCTGGACTGGGGGGTCCTGGCTGTGCCCCCAGCAGACTGGGTGCACTGAGCCTAAGGGCCGTCACTGGAGACAAGGAGACAGCGCTGGTGCTGAGCCTGGTGCCCGGCACAGTGCAGGGCAGCCACGGGCAGAATGGCCATTTCACGCAGAGGCCCACAGAAGGCCCAAGGCTCCCGGAGGCTCTGGGCCCAGCTGGTCCCTCAGACCCCAGCCATGAAAACCGAATTCCTTCCTCCGCAAAAACTACACAATCCCGGATCAGACAGAGGCTGCCAGATAAATGGCACCCAGCTCTCCTGTCCCTCCTCTACCCACTCCTACCTCTTCCTCCTTCCTCCCCTCAGCCTCCCCTCCAGCCCTGGCCCGTTCTCTCCCTCTCTCCCTCTCCTGCCTCCCTCATCTTCCCTGTCTCCCACTTTTGTCAGTCTCCCCTCCCCTACACATACCCCCATTCTGGCAGAGGAGAGGCTCTGCCCAGGGCTGGGTGCCTCTGCCCTGCCCTCCCCCACAGGGGAAGGGGCTAGGCTTCACAGTCACCCCTGCCCTGTGCAACCTGACCTGTCCCTATGTGGCTACACCACAGAATCGCCTAAGCAGCTTTTTAAAAATGCTGGAGCCTGTTGCAGGGCATGGGCATGACGACACCCAGAGGCTGGGGATCCACAGAACGATGAGGACTGACGGACCGGTCCTCCTCTGGCCCTGCAGACGGACAGACGGGAGCCAGGAATGAGAGCTGCCCGTCCTGGAGCCCCCACCCACTGCGGGCCAAGCTGGGTTTACAGGGGAGGGGCAAAAGGCTCAGGCCTGTCCTCTTGCCAGGAGTCGCACAGCCATGGGAAGTTGAAGCCATGCTCATAGCTAAAGTCCCCAAGTGCAAAACTAGGGAGGGATCCTCCCAGCTCACCTCCCCTTGTATGGAACCTAGAACACCTCCTGAGGACCGGAGGGAAGGGTGGGCCTGGCCCTCCACCGGTGCAGACCTGTAGGGTTGGCTCCAGGCAGGGGAGAATGGGAGGAAGGGCCGCCCACCCCGCCAGCCGGCTGCAGCAGGGACAGGTGGGGAGGGAGGCAGTCTGGACAAGGCCTGGGGCTGCTGCTTCTGCTCCTAGAGAGACAGCCCACCCTCCCCTTGCTCCCCGTGTAGGGCTTGGGGGCCTACAGCTGGTGTCAAGTTCCCAGCCCTGCACTGCAGCTGTCGCCCCCATCCCCAGGGGCCTTCCAGGGCTGGAGGATCTGATCCCTCACAGCCCCACCTTCCTACCCCAGGGGATGGGACCTCTTGCTCAAAGCATCCCTCTCCAGGTTGGACCCCCAGCACGCTGAGGTCCACACTCCATTCTACAGGGGAACTGGAAGGAGTTACCCAGGGGACCCCCATGGGCTGAAATCCTCAAGAATGCAGGGACCCCTCAAAGCAGGCCAAAGGGCCTGGAGGGCACTTCAGAAGGCCCCCACTGCAGACCACCTGTCTTCAGGGCTGCTCTTCCCCCACACTCAGAACCTCACCTCCCAGGAGCTGCGGCCCCTGTTTCCCTTCAATCTCCCAAGGGCACAGGGCCGTACGGTGCAGAGCTCCACGCCGGCCAGGTAGGTGGAGAACTTGCCTCCCATACATACACATCTTCTGGTCCCTTCCACGGCCAATTAAACAAAGCAGGCCACGCTGCCGCCTAGGGAGGAAAGGTGTCGGTTTCCAGGCCTCCCTCGATCAGCAGTATGGCCCAGTGAGAGGTGCTGGCAAGTGGGCCCAACTCTGGAGCCAGATCTATTATGTGGCTTTCTAGCTAGAGGCCCCTGGGCAAGTCACCTCCACTCTGGCCTCAGTATCTCCACGTGTGCAATGCAGACAATGGGCAGGACATAGCCTTCCTTAAACGGATGAGGATTAGGGGGAGGGGAAGGACAGGAAAGTGAGGACCCCCGGAATACACACAGTATCTCCAAGAAGGGTTCCTATTACAGAGCCCTCCAATGGCAGCCCCTCTGCCCCTCGGTCCACATGCCCCCAGGCCCCAGAGGTCCCTATCAAAGCAGCTTTCCCCCAAACACAGCCCCAGCCACCTACCTCCATGGCACGGGTGGGATGATGCAAAAGCAAGGCTGGGAGGGCACATCCACAGAGCATCTGGGAAGGCTTCCTGCGGAGGGTGGGGTGCTGGTGCCAAGCCTGGAAGGAAAGATGAGTAGGTTTAGGCAGTGGGAGGTGATGCGGTAAGAGAATTCCTGGTGGAAGAGAAAGTGTGAGCAAGGCACAGAGGTGTGAGTGTGCAAGGGGGTGGGGGGATGCACTAGAGATACCGCCTAAGTCCCAGCTGAATTAAGACATTCAGATGCTTCAGCCTTCAAAAGGCAATGGTGCCCACCCCCACCCCCATGTGATGAAAAATAAAGGTAATACTGGACCGTAAGTATAAGGAACTCCCACAACATTCTGATTTTCCTCGTGCTTCTTTGGAAGATCAAAGATCCAACTCGGTCACACTGATACTGGAATGTGCATTCAGTTGGCCTACCGAGCAGGCCAGCTCTCCCAGTCCCAGGTCAGGGTCGCAGAGCTGAGGCTTGGCAGGCCACCTCGAGGGGCTGGGCTCTGGGTGGCAGGCGGGGAGCCTATCCATTGGCTCTGGGCAGGGCAGCCACCCAGGGAACATGGAGTCTCAGGCTTTGGCCCTGGTTGTTCTCTCTAAGGAGATAAACAAGAGCCCCCAAGTACTCAGTGACTCTAAGCCTCGATTTCCCTCTTATCTGTAAAGTAGGGGTAATCCTAGTGGCCAAATAGGGGAGTTACCAGGATTAAATGCAATAATACATGTGATAGGACATAGTATGTGCTGTCACTCAACAGATGCTGCGCGCCTACTATGTTGCAGGCATTGTTCTAAGCCCTGAAGATACAGCACTGAACAAAACAAGGAGCTTCTCTCAGGAGAGGCGGAGTGGGTATCAGCTTGGGCTTGGGAGCCACGCTGCCTAGTGTTGAATTATAGCTGTGTTCTCAGCTTTCTGATATGTAAAATAAGTGGGTAATAGCATAACCTCGCAGGCTTGTGTGACGGCTGAGTGAGGTAATGCACTTAAAGTGCATAGAACAGTGCCTGGTTCCGTAATCTTTGGGTGGTGGTTATTCAAAGGCGGGCCCCTCCCCCTGGCCCCAAGCATCTCCGGATTCCTAGGGTACTCAGGACCCCAAGCCTGCCAGACTGCGCAGCAGCGCCCCCTCCTGGCTACCCCCGAGAAGGAAGGAAGTGTCCTTCCAACACTTGGGGCGGCGCTGCTTGCTTTTTTCTCCCGGGCCGAGTTTACCTAGCGCTTCTGTGGCGGGCTCTGTGTGCGCACTTTACCGAGCGGGCAAATTAGATCGACTCCTCTAATTCTTAAATAGCTCTCTGAAGCCGGTGCGATTACTGTTTTCAGTAATCGGAGGCTCCGGGAGGTCGAGTCCCTTTTCCGTGCCACGCAGCCAGGGACTGGCGAGACGTGAAGCCAGGCGGGTCTGACTGTCCTCAACCTCAGCCTGGTCGCCCGGGAGCCCGCCCCAATCACTGCGGCGTGTGCGCGCCTGTTTTGTGCGTGTGTGCACACCCCGAGACCAGCCCCGGGTGGCCAGGAGCACAGTCAGGAGAGTGGGGAAGGCGGGGTGCCCCCCGCGGGTGCGTGGGCGGGGCTTGTGTCGGGCTCCTGCCCCGCCCACCCGCCCCGCCCGCCAGGCTGCGGGGGGAGGAGGTGGTGGCTCGGGGCGCGGGGACTCCGCGGGCGGCGAGGAGCTCAGAGCCGGATCCGGACGCCACCGCCACCTGCGCGGCCGTCATCAAGGTAGGGCGGCCCTGCGCTGCCAGCCATGCCTTCCTGGTCTGCGCGCTGTGTGTGCTGCGTCTCTCTGCTGCAGCACCCCGGGAGGGATGCTGGGTCAGGGCGCGCCGCGGGGTCCTGGCGGGGCACGGAGGACCTGGCTTCCCACCCCTCCGCGTGACCTTGCACAAAGCGCTGCTCCTCTCCAGGCCTCAGTTTCCCCATCGGGATAGAGAAAGCAATGGTGGCCCCTTCCTCACTGAGCCGTGAGGAGAGGCCGCCCCAAGGTTCAAGCTCCCGACGGCTAGGGCCCGGATGGGCACTGTCTGCACCGCCCACCCCGCTCGCCCGCAGAGAGGGCCGCTCACCCTGGGTGTGGCCAGCCAGCCCAGACAGGCCCCCTTGTGGTCTGAGTGCTCTGCGGACCGTGTGGGGACTCTCCCCCTCTGTATGAAAAACAGGAGGTGGGAACACCCCTAGGTCCCTATTGAGCTGGCCTGGACATGCAAGGTGGGGCAGTCAGAGTCTGCCCGGCCAAGCCTGCTTCGCAGTCTGGGGCTAGGGGATCCCTGGGCTGAAGATGGTGGGGTCCTCGGTGGCAGACTTGCCTGCATGCACCTGGCTTTAGGGGATGATATGGGAAGTCCCTTAAATATGCTCAAGTGCTGGCACCCAGCTCCATGTCCCAGCCGGATGTGATAGGACTGCCTCACGTCAAAGCGTGGACCCCAGAGGCCCAGCAGTGCTACAAGAGCTGTGATCAGGTTGGGCAGTGGGTCTGAGACAGAGCACAGTCTGAAGAACTGTGGCTCGATGATGCTCTCTGAGTAAAGACCCTTGGCATCTGGTCCAGCCCCCCTGAAAGATCCCTTCTGGAAGGCCTTGCTACCCGGGGCACACCCCTTATGGTGGGGATCTCACAGGCTGCTCTGGGCACAGACAACATCTGACCCCATGGACAACATCTGACCCCTCCTCCCCAGATCTTCTCGCCTCCAAGCTGAACGGCCCCAGGCCCAGCACTGTTTCTCCAGCCTGAGCCAAAGAGAGCAAAGGCAAGACCCAGCCTGGGGCTTGTTCGGAGCCCACCCAGGCTAAGGCCAGAATGCATCCCTGTATTTCCTGTGCACCTTCAGCTCAGCAGCTGCCTTAGAGGTCTGGAGCCAGAGGAGCCAGAGGAGCCCTTCGCCAGGCCTTCCTCCTGACTGGCCCTCTTCCCCATCTTCCGTTTTCCGCCCTGATTGAGGCATAGTTTCTGAGAACCAAGTCTGGGCCTTCTGGTCCCTCTTGTCCCTTCAAGACCTGCTCCTCTTCCAGGAGCTTTCTTACAGCCAAGAGTAAGAAGGGGCCACCTGGGCAGGTGGTGAGCTCTGTGTCAGCAGAGGTGTGTAAGCAGAGGCTGGGTGAGCCACCTTCGACCTCAAGTCTGGGGTTCTAAGGGCTGAAGTAAAATGTCCATGCCCTTGCCTTCTGGCCGTGGTGGAGCTGCACCACAAATGAGTGTTATTAGCCCTTCATAAAAGCGGACTAAGTATATGTGCTGTCGCTTGCGTGTAGCTCTGATGCATGAGCTTACGTGCTTCCTAAGTCTCCTACCATCGTTACACGTGTATAATCTGGGCCCCGTTTCCTGCCTGGCTGGTCCAAGCCATTGTCTTGGTTTAGGAGCCTGACAGATTCTGATTATCAAAAACTCATCCCGCCCTGGCTGGGTGGCTCAGTCAGTTGGAGCATCGTCCCATGCACCAAAAGTTTGCAGGTTTGATTCCCAGTCAGGGCACATACCTAGATGGCAGGTTTGATTCCCAACTGGGGTGCATACAGGAAGCAACCAATTGATGTTTGTCTTTCACATTGAAATTTTTTCTCTCTCCCCCTTCCTCTCTCTCTAAAATCAATAAACACATCCTTAGGTGAGGATTTTTTTAAAAAGTTCATTTCATGCTAATTTTAAAATCTCCCATGAAACTGCAAATGTCCAAGCTGACAGGGATCTTGAAAAACCATCTCGTCCAACCCCCTCATTTTGCAGATAAGCATCTGCCGTCTCCAAAGGGGATGTGACCTGTCTGAGTCACGAGGCAAACCAGAAAGCAAGCCCAGGGGTCCTGGTTCCAAGGCCGGAGTGTGAGTGTGTGTGTGTGTGTGTGTGTTTGTAAACACCTACCATTCAGCAAATGAAAGCAGTCTGTATTTATTCCTATAAAATTAGCAAAAATGAATGTAAAAGGATAAACCTCTATGCTGACAAGGCTATCGGGAATCTCCGGTGCGTTTGATTTTGTGAGACAATCTGACAGCTTGTCCCAGAAGTCCATGACAAGGATCGGAATTACCCTTTGCCCCTAGCTTTGGACTCTGAGGACTTCCCCATGAGGAAGTCGCTGCAGACAGGGGAGGCGGGTGGGACGGCCGCGCAGGAGCCCGAGGGTGGCGGAAAGGCCAAGAGACAGGAGTCAGCAGCGCAGGTTCCAGGGTGAACTCTGCCTCCCCTGCACTCTGGCCTCAGGCCACGCCCTTCCCTTTCTTTACCTTCCTTCCCGGTCTGTGAAATGGGGTAGATGCAGTGATCGCTGGATCTTTCCTGCTCTGATAACCCGTGTTCTATCCTTACATCTCTTTCACCTGAAGCCTTTATGGGAAAGAGCAGTTCATGGACAATAATGCTAATGCACAGAGATACCAAAGAATGTCTCCGCCTCTCTCCACCACCATCGAATAAATCCCCTGGGAGGCAGGCAGCTCGCCCGTTTTCCCCTGGGAAGGGGATTCTGTTTGGCCAGAATCTGGGTTATTTTAGAGCACAAGGTGTTTTTATGTTTATGTTCTTTATCAGAAATTGGGGACAGAGATTTTTCAGGAGGAGCAGAAGATAATTCAGCAAGGTCCTCTATTTATTAAGTCTGCAGTCTGTGCCTTGCCTCCTTGAGACAGACAGGAGGTGCTTTGCAATCACACCTGGAGTGGAGGGCCGGGAACGGGCGACTCCGTTTCCGGAAACTAAGGCTTATTGGGCACCTCCCGCGTGCGAGGCCTCGAGGTGCCTCCCCCGGGGCCTGCGGGCTGCCGTGGGGAACACGTTAGGGTAAATTCTGTGAAGTGGCCACTGTCTGGCTGCTCTGGGCTCACAAGAAATGGCAAGTCTATTTGGTTCAGCCTGAATGGAAAAAGACATAATTAAAGGGCAGAGCACTCCCCACCTGCCTGGCTCTGTCCTCCGCGCTCCGCGTTGTTCGTTTAGTCATTCAACCATCGTTTATTACGCACCAACGTGGTGCCCCCGGTGTTTTCTGGGGGGGAGGGGTCTTGAGAGTAGGAGGGGAAAAGAAGAGACCCCAAAAACTCTGTCGTGAGTGATCCTACAATCTAATAAGGAAAAAAAGGGAAAACTAAGTAAAACAGATGTTGATAACCAAGATGGGGTGAATTGACTAGGGTTGTTTTTCTGTCGCGTTTCTGGTGCTGGAAGAGAGGGTGCTGCAGTGTAACCAGGGTGGTCGAGGGAATCTTGGAGACGTTGGGGTAAAGGCTGGGAGGAGGTGGAGGAGTGAGTGGAGCTGATTTCTGGGGCAAGGGCCGTGGTCCCAGGGTGCTGGAAGGGAGGACGGAACAGCCCGTGCCAAAGCC